TTCCAACACGAAAAGTCGGGATCTTTACTAAGTTTCTTTTATATCTCATTGGTGCAGCACTATAGAAATGAGTTTGTTGTCCAACTACAGATTTCCTATGTTTCTCTATTTTAATGTTTCTTGTATCTTTCTTGTTAGTCCGACATGTTGAAATGATATGCTATTATTTTGTTCTTCCTTAAGAGAAAAAATAATAGATACGTGAATGTTTTTAAGTATATTAAACAAATTATCTTTCTCATGTTTTTTTCTATTACTGTGAAAGGATCATCTATATAGTGACAGTAAGATGATGGATGACTAGTTGTGTCTTTAAGTGGTCTGTTTTCCAGTTTTGCAGGAAAAAAGTATGCCAGGAGATGGGCCAGTGGTGACCCCAGAGCTACACTGTCTAACTGTCTATTGTATTCACTGTGAAGTCGAATGTGAACATTCATCATGCATCTATGAATTAGCTGTTTTATAGCAGATACGGGAATCTATTAGTTCACTGAAAACTAAATCCATCATTTCCAGTTAGGGAATGTTAGTGGATAAAGAAGATAGATCTACTGATACCATAAAGCTATTTTTGACCGAGAGAATCTTTATATTATCAACAAACTCAAAGAAGACCTTAAACCGAATCTTAAGAATTCCTTTGTGTAATGGTTTGGGAGTTTGCACTTAGCATTTCACTATAGTATGTCAGGCTGAACTATTCATATTTAAAATGAGTCGAAGGGGCTAGCCACTTTTATATATTTATGGCAGAACATATAGCCTTGGTGTTATCGTTCCTGCTGGTCTTAACGTTCCGAACATTTATTCTGACATAAGTCCTTGATGTTTAATCTGTTTTAATGAGTCTAATAGTTTTTTTCAATCTTATCTGCCATATCATTCTACCTTACCAGTTTCTGAAATTTACACCTATTATTTAAGAGAGCTTTCATCCTGTTTAAATAGTCTTTTTTATGCACAAGTACTACACCATAACCTTTGCATGGCATCATGATTAAAAATTTGTCATCAGTTTTATGTATTCAGTAAGGCTCCTCCTCCTTCATGGTTACGAAATATCATTGTCAATTTCTGAGTTTTACTCAACTATCTTCACATACTAGGTGACATCAAAGATCAGAAATATCGCCGAAATCAAGAAGTGGTCACAAAGAAATTAATTGGTTTACAATAGCTCACCAGAAATGTTTTGGGTATATATTGCGCGCGCTAATTAAAAGGACAGTGGTATTGTTCCTTGATGAGTAAATTCTATTGTTTTGATCGTCAGGTCCGTATCAAGACTACTGTTTTCACTTTAATTGAATATACTTCAGTTAAAGTTTTCGACCAGAGTATCGTTTCTGTGTCTAAATTAGTTTGTTGTCGGTACTTTTGAATATTTTGTTTTGCTGTTTCATTTGTTAGTACTTTTGGTTCTAACGGTCTATTATTTTCCACTTTACTAGTTATAGATCATTTTTGTCTCTGAGTATTATTGCTTCTAGTTCTTCTTCTTAAAAAGGACCTCTGTCTGATGACTGGACAGTGCAAAAAAGCAATTACCAACTTCCGGGTTGTCGTTATCCCATTGAAAGCGACATGCAGTGCGATGAGTGAAAAGGCTGGCACCACGAAGTTTGCACGAATTTAACGCCTGCGGCTTTCAGACGGTTAAGTAAAAATGGTTGCGTATGGCTTTGTCAACAGTGCTGTTCGGATGCGAACAGCTTGCTAACCGTAGCAATCTCATTTGTAAATGCTGCAAAAAGTGTTTTGGCAAGCGTGGTTGGGACATATTGAACAGTAATCGCTCTGTCGACACGCAAATTGGTGTGAAGCAAACTCAGGTGAGTTCGAAAACAGTTGACTCAAACCGACCAAAGGAGGAGAAACAGTCTTAAAAAAGGTCTGTCTTAACCAAAAACTCAAGAAAAGAAGTTTCTTCTGTCCCCCATCTTCTAAATAGTATCGGGCAGGAAACGCCTAGAAGCTGCAACTTCAAGGCTCGATCGGCTTCTAGCGGGAAACATAACCTGACCTCTCAACTCGTCGACAGCTCCCTAAAATCCCACAGTATTTTTGCGCAACTGTGGTTGCCTCTCCTAGCAACGTTGACGGATGGATGCAGGTTGTAAGGAAGAAAAAACATAACGATACAAAAGGGAAACCTTCTTCCATAAAAGTAGTCAAGAAATCAAAGGCTGATCAGAGTGACAGATCAGTTATTTTTCATAGAATCAAGGAGAATGAAAACTCTGAACCAAAAACTAGTTTTGAGCATGACATTGTGCTGATGAAACGGCTACCTAAACAACGCATGCCTGAAAATATCCCCGGAGTCACCTTGCTAAAGGTGTACAGGCTAGGTAGTCTAGTAAACTTGAAGCCTATCAATCCAGACTGCTTAAAATAGTATTCAAATCTTCGAATGAACGTGACTTAATTTTACATAATGGAGTTTTTATCCGTAAGGACTTGCCGTTGGCAGACCGTGTAAAAAGACGGGAAGCCGAAAAAGAACTAAAACCTAGGTTAGACGCCGGCGAAGAGGATATAAAAATTGTAAATTTTCGGGTTGTAAGGCTTCGACAGAGAATGATGCCGAAGCCTTTATGGGTGAGGCACGGAGCCATTTAAATGGGCTTCGGATCTGTTACACTAATGTCCGAAGCTTACTCAATAAGCGATCGGAACTAGGTGTACAGATTGACTCTACAAAGTCCGACATAATCGCAGTCACAGAAACCTGGCTGACACAGGCTATAAATAGTATGGGACTTGATTTCGAGGGTTTTACGTTGGTAAGGTACGACAGAATACAAAAGCGTAAAGGAGGGGGAGTAGCTCTATTCATTAGGAATGCTATCCCATATGCCATTATCGACAGAGTATCCCATGAGAGTAGGACGTGTGAATTAGTTAGCTGCTACTTGAAATGCAAGGGACAAGAGCTGCTGATTGATTTGGTCTATCGCAGTTCAAACTGTGAGGTAAATGAGATCCTGTTAAGCAGTCTCAGTACTTGGTCACAAAGTGATCGATGTCTAATCCTAGGGGACTTTAATGTAGAAAATCCCTTCGAGTAGGAACTAGTTGATGCGGTTATCACATGTGCCCTAGTGTAACATATGCAAGAAGCGACAAGGTACAACCAGGACACTGAATCATCCTTGCTAGATCTTATATTCACTCACTATGAGGATGACGTTGCGAACCTCCATTATATGTCGCCCCTTCCATATAACTGTCAATGACGAGTAGGCGTCAGTCCAATCCAGACCTAACGTCTGGAAAACAAACATACCAGATATCATGCACTCAGCATCGTTAGTACATTGGACAATAGACTCAGAGTCGTCAATTGAAACGGCCTGGGACGCATTTCAAAATTCATACTTAAAAGTTACCACACACTACATTCCCTTGGACTATACGAAGGGAGCCGAGAAACGCCCCACCATGGTTCAGTAATGAGATCCGCATCCTTCTCCGTAAGAGAAGAAAAATGTGGAAGAGATTTAGGTTACTAGGGACCGATGAGAAAAAATAGGTTACTCTTGTCTCAGTAACTCAGTAGTGGCTCGTGAAAGCTGGTGCGCTCTTAAGGACCAATAATTACCTGTAGACGTAGCCTTCATTGATTTCAGCAAAGCTTTTCACAAGGTTCCGCACAACCGACTGTTATATAAGTTAAGAAATGTCGGAATTGGAGGCAATCTATTGATGTGTATAAAAGACTTCTTAGTTGGGCGTCAACAAAGAGTACGGGTGAACTCAAAGTTATCTAGCTGGAAAACTGTGCTTAGTGGAGTGCCCCAGGGTAAAGTTTTGGGGCCAGTGCTATTCCTCTTGTATGTAAATGACCTTCCTCGTCTCCTTTCGTCATCGATCTTGCTATATGCTGACGATGTCAAGATATGGAGAACAATACGATGTGAGGGTGATAGCTTAGAGCTCCGAAATGACCTGAAGAAATTATCTGAATGATCTCAAACCTGGCAGTTGCCGATAAATAATTTCAAGTGTGTTGTGGTGCATATCGGTCATCAAGGTTAAGATAAATACACCATGAATAACGCTGAGCTGCCTGTCGTACAGATACATAATGACTTGGGAGTCATCGTTAGCCAAGACACTGAGACTACTGCACACTGCCATGCAATAGCCGCCAAAGGTTTTAGAGCTTTATGGCCAATACGTAGGGCTTTTAGTCATGTAGACTATAAGACGTTTTTGACTTTGTATACAGTGTTCGAACGTCCGAAACTTGAGTACTGCATACAAGCAGTTAGCCCTTGCTTAAAAAAAGACAGTCAGCTTCTGGATTAGGTTCAGAGAACAGCAACTAATCTTATTCCCTAAATAGCGAAGCTGAACTTATTCCCGTTGTCATATCGTAGAACTAGAGGCGACTTGATTACGGTTTTCAAATTGCTTGGTGATAAATTTTCACCTGATAGGCCCTCATTTTTCGTGTCTTCCAAAACAGAGAATTTACGAGGAAACTCCATCAAAGTCCACAAACCCAGAACAAATTACATTTAAGCTGACTAACGACTTTTCCATCGAATCATCAACACGTGGAATTCATTACCTTGGCACGTGGTTGAGGCTCAATCCGTTGACGCTTTCAAAAGAAAGTCGCGTCAACTGAGGGACCAATATTGCCAGGACTAACACAGACCATCAAGCTTTCTGTCATTCCCAAAATGAAACTGAATTGGATATTGAATTGTCCGGGTGTTTTAAGGCCTGGAGCTGAAGCGCGTTTGGTTTCGTTTGAGTCCATTTTGGATCCACGTTTGTTCGTCGTCATTAAGTCTTTACCGTTATTGTGTTTGCGCTTGCTGACTTTAACGCTAAAACGTTTTGTTATTGTCTCTCCCAAATCATCAAGGAGGGTTTTTTGAATCTGTTCTTTTCGCGTTTTTCATCCCTCACCAGCAGATCGTGCTCAAGCCTACTGACGACTAGACGTTCCAGGATATTCATTGCCACCCAAGATTAGCCCTGTGATGTTGAGGTTGCTCGTTGTGTTTGTGTCCACTGTCTTAACTGGAGTTTTTCCGGATGAACATAGTCATGTAGTGAGTTTCTTGGGTCATAAATTCTTGTGTATATTATTACCTTCCCTATCTAAATCCGTAGCAAATACGTCATGACTTCCGTTATACTGGCCAACGGTCTTGTTGAAGGAAAGAAAGGAAACGTAACTGGTCAGTGTAGGTTTGTTCGACTTAGTCTTGTAAGCGCCCCTCCTATATTAGTAACCATTCAAGCTATTTTGGCGATCCTGTACGCCAATGAAGGTTCAGTATCGTCAGTTTTCATGACTAACACCCTGCATTGAGTCAAACAGTCGTCTTCAGAGGTGGCGAATAAGTTGTATTTTAAGAATTAACACTCCTGTCGAACTGTCTTCAGTAATAAGGATAGGACTATCGTCTTGAATTTATCAATAGAAGGTGCCTAATGAGTCATTTAATTGGGAATTTCCGTTGTAATCTACTAGGTGTTTGCTACCTATCTTGTTCTGGAGGGTTCTGCAGTCTTTATACTGTGTTTAATCATAATAAAACTGGGGAAAGTGATACTTTCACATAACCAGAACACAAATAGACTGTCGGAATTACTGTTTTCATTTCTTTGGACGAAAAATATGCAGATATTAGTCAGGACATAATGATTGTATATATTTGTCTCCACCATTCTTTGGGAAAGTATTGAAAACACAAAATGGTGGCGCTCAAGTTAACTCGGAATATAGTTTTCCCCTATAATTTCCCGAAAGTTCCCTTATACGTTTCCAAAGTCGGTCGTTTGACGGCAATGTAATACACTGAACGATCGACCACGCCATCACAGCCGTTGTTTTGATGTATACGCAAGTATTCGACAGTAAACATTGTTAGGAACTGTCATTTTTGCACTTTTGGGATGCAGTGATGTATAGAGACTACTGAAGATTTGCTGTTCGCGACTCTATTTCCCTTTTGCCTACACATACCCTCAGTAAAGATTTTATATACAGGGAAAGTGAACCAAGTTTAAAAATATCTCAATAACTTAATCTTTCACTGTGATATCTTGTTGATTGTATGTCACTGTTTGTATGTAAAGCAAATATCAGCAAAGCTTTGTTCTTTTCATATTCAACTTCGAACTTGAAATAAAATGCTTTTCGACCCAAGATACCATACACACCAACGTATCAATACGCAACGAACAATAAAATAGTCGAAACAACAGTCATATCATTGATAGCGAACAAGACAAGAATTTTACTATCACGAAACCTGATAAAGGAACAGATACTGTCCATGTGGCTGACTGAATTGTCTGAGTCAATGTAACTGCTTCGTTAGGGTGAAATTACGACTATTATTCCAAAGTCTGCTTGTTACAATAGATATACTTAATTAGATGGACTGGCGGTGGATCGAGATTTTATCTATAAGCTCCGCGAAATGACCGTAAATTACTTTTGTATATATCTTAGGTGGTGTGGCTGGGTGTGGCCCAGATGTAGTCATCATTAATATTCCTTTAAGGTCAGGGTTTTAATAACATTTCATACTTTTCACTTATTTTTGTACCCTGTTTTGTATATTTTTTATGCTACTGATATTATTATTTCTATTGATGTTAAAATCTTTTGTTGGGATTATTTGAACAGTGGGAATTTGGTCTGATGAACATTCGTGTAAGATCATTTGTTGATAGTGAATGACTGACCGTCGTGAATCACCGAGATATCACTTGCAATTATTGGAGTGTAGCTACTTTAAAAATGTTCGCTCTTATCATAACTTGATTTTTGCTTGCATTTCCAACCTTAATTTCCATGTAGTTGAATCAAATGCTAACTAAACCGTTTTCTTGCTAAGGAATTTATCACGATTCGGACATGCCAAAGTATGTGTTGGATTTTATTAATTGCTGCATTTTCGATGAGTCATTCTAATTGTATGACTTCATTTTTAGTATGATGTTGCAGAAGAAGTGGTTCTATGGATGAACACTATTGGACCATATCATAATCGTCAAGAAACTTACGGATACTTTACCTTGCCCTTTTGTCGTGGACCTAAAATTTCAATTGAACACACCCATGAAACTTTGGGTGAAGCTTTACAGGGGACAGAACTTCAATATAGCGGGATAGATATTCGATTTAAAAGTGGGTATATGTTTTTATAAACTCTTCTGAATTAGTTAACAAACCTAAATCAACGATGTGTGAAGTTGATGTCAATTCAGATGCTTACATAGCTTTTAGTAAAGCTGTTGAGCAACAATATTGGTATCAAATGTATTTGGATGATCTACCGATTTGGGCTGTTGTTGGGGAGGTAAGCAAAGACGGTCATCCTAGTATTTGGACTCATAAAGAACTGGAAATCGGATATAATGAGAATCAAATCGTTTTTGTCAATTTAATCAACGGTGACTTGACTCCTTTAAAACTGAACACCAAAATTACATTCTCGTATAAGGTAAGCTGCCTATTTTTCCGTCTCAAATTTCCAAGTTTTACAAACTTCAGTATATTTACTTACAATTTAAAGTCTATGATATTTAATAGAATGAAACTTTATGACGTTGCACATCGTTTTTATTCCTGTCTGTCGAGCGTCATCCTATTAGTTGGTTATTTTAGAATATACAATATAAATCAAGGTAATTCAAATTACTATCAAGTACACCTTCGTATAGAATAAGTTAGAACGTTTATTTGTCTTTATGTCCACTCTTATTAAGGTTACGAACATTATTTAATTAAATAACATTTAGCTAATAGTAGTATTTGATAAAATAATATTCGTAACCTTCCTAATACTATCCAAGTGAACCCATCAACAAACAAGACCAGAGGTAACATCTGTTCCAAAGAAGTTGCCGTTTTTGGAGCTATAGTTCTAAATTGGTGTTACCGGTAAAGTAATAACAAAATGGTTAAGGAAAGTTGTTCAGAAAAGATTTATTATTCCTAATCATCACGCAATGAGAATCGCCAATAAAGATAAACTGTTTGAATTCGCTAAATTCATGTGTTTATTGATTAATCTGCTCCTGCCGAGCTAGTTATATAAGGCATGCAGTTCAGCAAGTTCGTAATCATATAGCAAAAAATTATCCGTTTTGGTTAACCAAAAGACATTTAAGAGAGTTTAGGTGTTTTATTCTCCCATGCTTGGTGGACGCAGTTCACCACACTGACCCGAATAAAACTTTTACGGTCATTCACCATATTCCATCATATTCACCGCGTGGTTTGCGGGCTCATCTTTTGTATATTGTTGATGCTATAGAAATTCACATTTAAAGATCTGACCTTCGCACTAAAAAGTATGTACAACTCCTCTCTCTATCTTGATTATCAATATAAAAGTGAGTTTTAGCTGAATTTTGATTCACTCCATTCATTCATGATAAGTCTGCTAATTGAACGCTAGGTCCAATTTCCTAGCTGTTTCTAATGACTTCTGGCTGAATTCACTTGGTAAATTAAACGCAATAAAAAGCAGTGAAGTGCAAACCAAAGACTGGTGATAAGGATTTATTTGACTGCCAAAATAAATGAATGATTTATTGATTCACCACTTTTTATATGATTCATTTAGTTACATTTAAAGTCAGATTTGTCTTAAGTGAGCTGAATTGTATTTAAAAATGATAATTCAATAAATTACTGTGTGAACACATATTTACCATGTTACGCGATTGAGCATCTATAATCCTGCTTGAGATGTAATTACATTTCACGTATGATTGGAAATCAATTTCATAGATCATTCGTGCTCCAGCTGATTTTTCGCCACTTCTAAAAAATAGAAAATTTCATAATCCTTCACGTTTGTGTTTTTACATATTATCGATATTTGTTCGTTGATAATCGACTTTTTCAAAATACTTTGTTAATTGTTATTAAATATTATGTAATCTAGCGACCGTTCAATTTGATTTTTTCGATTTACGCAAACCAGTACATTATCAGAATTCTTTCAATTACTCAGTTAATCACTCAATATTTTTGTAATCACATTAAGATTATATAATTATGTGACACGACTACTCGACTAGTATTATTTTATTGTAGTAAATAATATATATATATATATATATATATATATATATATATATATATCATAGCCATGATGAGACATTAATAAAAAAGGAATTTCTTCGATCTATTCATGTTTTTATTAATTATCTAAATTGGGATTTTCACTATACTAAAGTATTTGTGTTCAGGCTTTTGTTAGGGAAACAAACCAAATATCATGCATAATATGACGATAAGCAATAGATATGAGAAGCAATGGATCGAGCAATGTAGCCACCCTACACTTTCACTTCTGCATGAGCATCAGCTAGCTGTTATACGTCACGACATAGCTTTGTTCATATCAATCCATATAGATATTTATAGACGTGCGCTCGACTTAGAGAACTGAGATAAAACTAGAGAGTATTTTCAAAGCCGAACACCCCGATCATGCATCAGTCGACCCAGTCTATCAGCTATCAAGGAGACAGCTAAATAACTCCAAAATAAAAGATCAGAATGGAGGAAAAGGCAATCAAAATAGATGTCTTAACAATAACCGTCGATATTACATAAATATCTTCAAGTAGATAAGTAATCTCGTAACTGACCGGTGCATTAAAAAAATGTTTGACATCTCTGAAATAAACGTTCACTGGTTCAATTTTGATTTTTCTATGGTTATATGAATATATGACATAATATTTAAGTATTAGTAAATAACTCCAAATCTGTTGGTTGGTTTTCGGTACTGACGTATAAGTTATTTAATCAAATTCAATGTTTTTTCTACATTCAAAAAAGGTTAGATGGGTTCCATCAGAGATAGACTTTTCTGATCGATTTGATAAGTATTTGGATTACGAATTCTTTGGACACAAGGTAAGGAGGTATTAGATTACTATTTATGATGAAGTATTGGTATTTTAATCTAAAGTAAATCTGTCTAAATTTGATCGATACTATTATCATTATTTAGTGGCTGAGACATCAATATTACACAAATTTATTTGTACAAGTTAATAAATCAGTTTGCTTATAAACATTCCACACATATTTTCTATCAGGTTAAATATATAGTAATTAGGCTGGATGATAAAATGTAGTTCTAAATACCTTTGTCGCATATCCGTAGTCATTATTTAATCATCCATTGTAATTACACCAATAAATCGAATCCCTCAGTTTGAGGCTGAAAATTACTCTTTCGCTAACAAGCTATGACGTTATTTGAAACCCACTATCATTTCTAATTACAATGGGATTGTTAACTACTTCCTCACTAAATATGCATACAGTCAAAAAAGATAGTTGAAATCATCTATGATGTTAAAAGACTCCAGCGACTCGTATATTCGTTAGCGCTTCATGTCAGAAATGTTACCGTTTTTTGAGCGGTTTGTTCGTTTAGCAAAGGAGCTTTCCTATTTAGTTAACACAGTTTATTTATAGCAAAGTTTATGCTCACTGTTAGTCTGTTTCGTATGTTTATTCGAAGAAATTAATGAGTATAAAACCGACTATCACTTGATTCATTTTTTATCCATTAATTTTGTCTAAAATGTAGCAGTGTAAATAATCTGTAAAGAAGGATTATTCGTATTCGCTTGTTGCTTCCGTGATCTTTTGCGCGCCTTTCTACCCTTTCAACAAGTACTTACTATTTCATATGATTGGACAGCTTCTTTAAGTTTGTGGAATTGCTCATACAACTGTATTCTGACCCAACTAAATTCATCGTCCTGTTAATAAGTCGTTCAGTAGATTTTCCTAGTTAAAATCATGAGACCACATTCTATCAATTTAATCCTGTTCGCATTTCGTAGCGATTTACAGTAGTAATGGGTTTGGTTTGTTGCGATTTCGATAATCTTGTATCTTCCTGACAGATATTGTTCTTTAAGCGATGCATACCTCTTGACTGCATTATAGTTAATACTTAGCCATTTTATCTATTGAACTGCCAACAATAGTTTAATATTTCGTTTACAAACGCATTATTGACTGTAATCCCACAAAGAAAAACACTGAGTTATACATTTTTCCTATTTGTCAGACCTGTAATGTTTATTCGCATTTTACCGTAATGCTAACAATATTTTTCAGTATAAAGTTGTGGGGATTGTTGAACTTTTTTTAAAATCACGAACTAATGTAAGTTAGACCATCACTGAAAAACTAGGAGCACTGGATGGCTGTTATGTCCTAGTATGGAACTCCTCAGTGATGATGTAACTGAAATGGGCTCATGAATTCAATGAAGTTGATAATAGTGTTTACTTATTTGTCATGAAAATCTATCGTTGTAACATTGCTGTGTTTATGGTATATTATTCACATTGTGATGGAAATACACACATTTTTAAAAATTTCCGTCTCACTAATCTAATTCTGGATTACTCACGTCTGCGCTTTACTGAATGTCATTTCATCAGACCATTTCGTACCTTACTTGATATTAAAATCACTAGGATTTCTAGGGTGAATGATCAAAGGGTATTTGGTAGCTGTTGTGTTGGACGGCCATCCGATTCTGATGCTGATGTTCACACCTATACGTGAGCCCATTTAGCTACTTGATTAACAAAACCAGAAACAAGCAAAAAGCGCTATTAGCTGAGCGAGACCGAGTATCTACGCTGATGTGTCCCTCAGGTAATTAAACCAAATCTCGACCAGTAGCTCTCACCCATCGACATTTCCCACTTAGCATTTGGACTTGGACTGGTATGTCTTATTGGCCCAGCCTCTTAATAGTTGTCTGGCAAAGAATATCGCTATTACACCTAAGTTGACTACTTCGCTTAATTTTAGGCGTTTTGTGGACTAGTAAATAATAATAATTTATTGATTCACTACTCACAATAAAAAATAAACTAGCTGGAAAGCATCAGTCGCTTGAACGCATGCAGCACGTAAGGTCTGAGAGTACATCAAAAACTTCTCATAAGAGCCATCTGTGAGCGCCCTGTGCCTTGAGCTCTGCATTCACGCTGCAAGGTCATCATCCCTGCCCACATCTCCACTGACTGTAGCACGAATAAAGTAAAAAGTGATTTCTACAGGACAGTGATCTCCAGAAAGTCAGACGTTCATATGTATTAATCGTAGCTACAAATCTTAAGGCCAAAGTACAGTATTTTACTTCGAACTGAAACATTTAAGTGGGTCTCTTGGCATCACAGCTCAACAAACAGATAATGGCAACTGTCTGATGCAATTATACTCAGAGAACCGACTATTTTATTTTTATTTATTTATTTATTTAAACACATAAACATTAGTACGAAGAATCACCTTCCACGGTGTGGGCAACCTGGAATTGATGTCAGCCCTCATACACGTAACAGAACACGAGACCAAGTTGATCAAAATCAAATCCATCCTACACCTCCCAATAACTCTCTTATCATCACGACTAATCATTCCCACGTATCTTTACCATCTCGCACCGCTAGTGCAAACGATTCGAGTACGTGGAACGTTATTCCCGGTCTTCTGAAACCACCCTCTAAAATAGCTTTGAACATCCGAACACTGTGCCAAATAGAACAACAGGCTTCCTTAGTTAGGACTTTGGAATCTCGAGCTATCGATGTGTGCTACATCTCCGAAACGCGCATACAGGATCCGAGTAGCGCCGTTCATTTGACCTCACCATATCAAAATAAAGAACCAACTCGATCCACGCTTCGTGTGTCTGGAAGCCCTGATGCTGCTCCCCGTAGCCTTGCCGGTGTAGGTATAGCGTTGTGTCCTAGGGTAGAATTAACTCTCCTAGACTGGATCCCAGTAGACAGTCGCTTGTGCGCTGTCCGACTAAACGGAACAGCAAGGACTCGGAAAGATAGGGACACACGTCGTTGCCTCTTCGTCGTCTCTCCCTACTCTTCTACTGACTGCAGCTCAGATGATGTTAAAGACGAATTTTACAGAAAGCTTTCCGACCTTCACCGAAAAGCTATATATATATATATATATATATATATATATATATATATATATATATATATATATATATATATATATATATATACTTCAGTACCTGTCCGTCCAGGATATCTTTAGGGAGAATATTCAAAATAGAAATTCGGTGCTTCCATGTTATGAAAAGTAGCAAATTCATGTTCAGCCAATTTATAATTCTGCGTACGAACTAATAAGGCCAATCGACACAACCAAATCTAAAACAAGCAATCAACAAGAACAGTAGTAATTGATTATTATTTTCATAACATTAATACATAAAGAAAAATATGCAATCTTGTAGTTCGAAAATTCCCAAGTCATATGTCGTTATTTATTTATAACACATTGACTTGTTAAACAACTATCAGTCGTTCAGCTGAACCAAGTCACCAGCCTCAGAGTCAGTAGACAGCGCATAGTATGGCAGTAATTGGAACAAAATGAGTGACACGCGCTCAGGTCATCACCGTAAGCATTTAAAAACGAATTATTCAGACGAATGATGGACTAAATTGAGTTCAAAAATATGTCATTCAATGCAGCCTCGGGGATGCCCTCCCCGAGGCTGCAGGAACAACAGTGACATCTGCTATTAAGGTCAACCACAAGGTTAGGGAGCAACACTGGATCTCAGCAGCACCTACCGCATTGACAGATGCTCGAAAACTCATGCCATCTGGGTCTGAACATAACGAAGAGCGGAATCCGCTTAAGCGCAAGCTGACAAGAAGCCTACGCAATGATCGTGAGCAGTGGTGGGTAGCGAAAGCAAGAGAGATGGAAAAGGCAGTGGCAAAAGTTAACAGCAGACAACTGTCCAGATTTGAAAAGGAAATCGGTATTATGAATCCAACTGCTAGTGAAACTATCTCCGAAAACGATGGACATATTATTCACTCTCAATCCATGAGATTGGATCGATGGGCAGAACACTTTAGGGATCAGTTCAATTGGCCTTCAGCCACACTTCGGTTTCCCATGATCTCCAGTCAACCTGAATGGCAAGTTAATTTAGGTCCTCCGTCTCTTTACGAAGTTGAAAAAGCTATAGGAAATCTGAAGCGAGGGAGAGCAGCAGGCTCTGACAGATTTACTCTTGAGATTTTTAAGGATGGTGGTCCAGTATTAGCAGTGAGGTTAACTGAGGTCATAGGTAGAATTTGGGAACTGGACGTAATCCCATCTGACTGCTCTCAATCTCTGATTGTGCCAGTCTATAAGAAAGGACAAAAGTCCTCTTGTGACAATCATAGAGGAATCAGTTGGACTAATATAGTATCGGAAATATTAGCTTCAATAATACATCGACGCCTAAATAAAGCTTGTGAAGAGCAGATTAGAGAAAACCAGGCTGGTTGCGACTTGGACGTGGTTGTATAGACCAAATATTCACACTACGTCAGGTAGTAGAACATAGACACACATTCATACGTCCCACAATAGTAGTATTTCTCGACCTTAAGACAGAATTTAACTTTGTTGATCGTGAAGTTCTATGGCAGTGTTTGTCACTGAAAGGAGTACCAAAGGAGTACATTAACCTTGTAAAAGCCCTATACTCGAACAAAACAGGTCGAGTGAGAGCTTATGGCGAACTGTCATCAGAATTGATTACCTCAACTGATGTTCGTCAGGATTTTCTATTTTCTACATTCTTGTTTAACTTTATCGTTGACGTACTTTTAGAGATAACACTTTCCTCATCTAAATTTCCAAGGGTTGAACTTTTACCGGGAGATTCACTTGTTGACTTAGAATATGCCGATCACATAGTTCTGTTTGGTGAAGACGCTGACAAAATGCAGAGTCTTTTGACCACAGAAAACAACAGTACAAGCATATTCATGCTGCGATTCTCCCACTTCAAATTGCAAAATGTCACTTACTACAGACCAAAATTATCTGTTTCTTTATATGAGAGAAACGTACGACTCATTAAACAAAACTGTATTCAGGGAATGTTTGTTGAATGTTGTTAAAGAGATGTTTATTAGTAAGTTAAACCTCAACGTATAACGCGGTATCTGTTTACATCTGTTTAATTTACCATATATAATTAGCACGGTGAGATGAAATTGTCTGGGCAAATCACAGAATATTATAGGTAGTAACAGTGTCAATGATAATAGAAAAATTATTCATTCAATATACAACTCACGAAATTGTAAATTAAAAAAAACCTTTTTGGAAATGTAGAAACTTGGGATTTAAGAAAGGACGAAGAATAAATGCACGCACATAATTGGAAACGATTTTGGGCCGTCATTTAAAATCTTTAACCAGTGGTTATGGTAATCACGAAAACCTTAACCAGGTAGTATGCACCTAACTACACAGCTCATTCCTTTAATCTCAGTTGTCATGGTCTGGTCCCATTTCTTGGCTTAGTCAACCATAGCTTTTTCTAGCCTACTTCTATACCAATCATCATCTTGCGTCAAGGTAGTCGGTGCGTGGTTGTAAATATTATGTATCCTACCCATCCCAGTCGACAAAGATCCACTACCTCATCAACGGGTTCGCCATCCTTACGTAATACTGTGCTAACCCGATGGTCCCAAAATATATGAGCAATTGTTCAAAGATACCTATTGTCGAGTACTAGTAACTTATGAATATCACATTTCACAGCCAGGAATTCGAACAAAACGAACTTCTACCCTGTAAACTCGTTATCTAGTTGGTAGATGAATATCTCACCTACGCCGTAAGTGACGCAAGTTGGAAAAATCCAAACTGGCCTTCTCTATTTCTACTGAGATTTCATCAGATACCACCCTACCAGAGCTGATGAAAAATCTATCAGCATTTTGAAGGTTCTATGTACAAATACACCAGGTAGAACGAGGATATACAACCACCTTTTCTAACACTTATTTGGTAGTGGAAAGGCAGCATTACTAGAAAAGCTGGTTGACTGAATGAAACGCTTTACTACACTACAACCTAGTACAATAGGCGATAAAGCTTAGTTCATGAACTTTATGTTTTCTGCTTTTGATAATACCACCCTCAAAATGACTTTCCTGGTATGGTTTAGCATCAAGGAACAAACATTCTAGCCAATATAGCCTGTATCCTCCTAACGAACGTAAATTTCTACATATATAAATTATATTCAATTAGCTCAGTGATCGGAAATCTTGGTAGTTGGAAACTGCTGTCGGCTTCGAAACGTCTGCATCTGGTAACTTCTGGAATAAAAACCAATGTTAACCGCGCTGTAACTTTATTTGACTTCATGAATGAAATTTATTTACTTGAAAGGATTGTTGTATTTTTTCAACCGAACTATTTCTCCCACTGTATATTAAGCTCATGCACTTATTTTTTCATTTAATTATTTTAAAGTATATTCACCCTTTTTATATCTCTTCATAAATTCATCCATTTATTTGTATGGTGCATATTTATTTTGATATCCATTTGTGCCAATATTTATACCTTCAAATAGATAACCCTCCAAATACCCAGTGTTTCAAAGCAATGTGAATGGGAAATTCACACAAGTTTACTAAATCTTATTTAAGTTGTAAAGGTCGTATTTTTCTTGTCCGAAATCTCACAATCCCGAATGACATATAAGCAGTGTCTCAATTGAGCACGTTAACCAGCGAAATATAATTATTTATGCGTCTCTTCTAATCAGTACAGCAAACGAACAAGTTAAATAATTTTGGTTTCCGGAGTTGTGATCTCATCTTATTGTCGTCTCAGATGTGTATGTATGTCAACATTTTCGAAAGTGAAACGAGGAATTCTAAACTTTTTTTTCGATGTACGTTTTTATGTTGTTCGTCTTAATGAAAGTAATATTTTTCCATAGAGATATTCCAAGCACTCTTTTTACGTGTAGTGCTATGGTCAGGCGAAGAGTTCTAAGCATTTATTCAGCGTAATATTTTACCTTTTTAATATCACAAGGAGTTCGTTTCATCGTTAATATACCTCATAAACTAGAAGGCCGATTCGTAAGTTCACATTGTCTATTAGATAGACACAATTAGTAATTACATTTTATTCGCGATTACTTTTTCTTAATTATTCAAACCGATTCATTATTATCTCGTGTAAATTCTAGAAGATCAGTCGCTTCCAAAAGTTTACTGCTTTCATCGATATTGTTGTTGTTCTTTGTTCGTGTTCTTGTTATAGATTCATTGGTTTTCAATTTTTAATTCATTTATGATGGTATTGTTCCTTGTCGCATTGGTCTGCATGATTTTAATGCGAACATTACGGCGTGACTATGCAAGATATAATAAAGAAGATGGTCTAAGCGATTTAGTAAGTCTCCCAGTACTTTTATGCTTAGTGTAATTGTAGCAAAACAATTGAAATCCTGTTGTTTATTCTTTCAATTTTACATTACACAGAGCTCACAGGTCTTACTGTAAGGCTTTTTGGTTTCTGACTTTTCCAGACAAAGGGTTCGTTTTGCTTCTAGTACTTACACGTTCGTTTGTGTAGTCTTATTTGTATCTGGGACCTTACATTAAAAGTATTAGTTCATTCGAAGATTTACTACGGATAGTCAGGGTTAAAGAACTGTCAGTTTTTTAATCCGTATCTGAATTCTTTTCAATGTATATCGATTAGTATCAAGTACAGTTTCATCCATTTTTCTGACAACTATATGTATATTTTGAGGCTTGGTTATCTTCTGTTGGGTTCATATTTGTATCTTACTAATTGAAAGTCGATGGCAGTTTGATATTCCTCATAAGTACCTACATTCGACTAATTAAACGACTAAACCGAGAATCCAGTTTCCATTGCGATTTGACAGTCGTCCTGCAGATTCACCAATAACATACGAAGTTAGATTCTCTTTTCACAGTAGCCGAATGGTTCGATTATTCAGTTTGCTTGGTATCTTGTTACATGGACTTGAGTCTTGAACAAAAAAATAGTATTTCAGTAACCCAGGATCTGACTCCAGTTAGATCGGACATTTATTGATATTTCATTTATTTTAACACATAGATTTTGGTACAAGGAGGCACCAAATATATATATGCGCCACACAAATCTCATTTGATATGTGTGAGGGCTGTGATACTGCCCAGGTGCTCAAACCGAAGCAGGTGGTTTTCTTAGGAGGCCACACCCCGAGCCTTCGACCTGAAGGTCTGATCCACAAGGCAGTGGAGCATCGTAAGAAGATGCAGTCCCATGGTAGCCGGTGACCAACGATTGGTTCATACGCCACTTGTTCCTTTAATATACTGGAGCCCATGTGCACCATTGGTTTGGGATCAGGGTTTTCCACCCCCCCAAGTGGACTCTCCATGTCCACCAACCCGGTTAAAGTGCCGGACGTTTGCTTTTCGTCCTCTCAATCTCGTAAACAACACCCCGCCACGAGAAGGCAGTAAGTAGTACTTCCCTAGCAGAGGCTGTATACGCGTGGCCGTGCGAGAGCATTTTGAGAGGGAGAGCAGGGTCACCCCACTCTCGGCTGTACCAGGGCATTTGGGGGCTAGATCGAACAAGTGGTCGTTGTTGAATGATTGCTGTCGAAATATACATCATGGTTATTGTCGTATATTATTATTGACTTCGCGTTAGTGTATAACGGAATTAAAATAAGCCGAGTACGAGAATGGATTTTTGAATGCGTGTATTTTGTACACTTGTTGATTTAAACAGACAATCAGAGGAGTGAAGCGAAAAGTAGAGGGCGAAGAGAAATGACGCGCAGTGGAGATGGCGTGCGAGCCAACTCGATTTAGTCACACAAAAATAAGCTACAAACATATGATGAATATGATAAGACATACACACACATAAGCTCATATAAAAACAGTCAGTGTTGATAAGTGAATAACTAACAAGGTCAAGACGTGGCTCAAGAGGAATGAATAGATCGGCCTATCCAGAAGCTAGAGTAAAATGTGTGGGCTTAACATACCAACGGACACTACAGCATGATACACATAGACAACTGTGTGTCCATGTTTCAAGCTCCAGTAAATTAGTTATTTATCTGAGAGGCGAATTACTTCCGGTTTTACTTGTTACATTGACCTTAATGATCGTATGTAAGAAAAATTAGTAGGGTTAGAGAAAACGTTTAATGATAAATAAAAGTGAGTTGAATGTAGATCCATTAATGGTTTTATAGTTATATTTTACCAACATTCAGAGAGTAATACTGATAACTTAAACATGTACACAGAATCATGGTGATGTCTTTTGATCGTTCGTTTAATTCTTTTATCAGTTTGTTCAGTTCTTGGTTTTTAATTAACCATTTGATTATCTCCGATATGGACTTTTTCAAGTCTATTTGAGCATAGTTCTAGATTGGGAAGTCATAGTGATTGCGTTTCATTCACCACTAAGGTATGTTTGACTTATGCTAATACTCGATTCAGTTATCTTTATCTATTAATACATAACTTTATAAATATGATGTTATGTATTATCAATGGTCTTTCAGCGAACTAACACTATTTAACTAGTTTAACTTTTTTGAGTTTTCTCGATAATTGAATATCCGTTACAAAATTATTTCTAATAAGTATGAAGACTTCTGATATATATATATATATATATATATATATATATATATATATAGCACTCAACATTAAAATACTCATGAATATCCGTTTTCAGGACATAAGCGTCCCTTTTTTCACATTATAGAGGAGAAAAATGTAGGGAAATTCAATGATGACTTTTATTTTTCATAAGATACATATATTTATGAAGACGGTCAAAAATAAGTAGCCGGATTTCTTGTTAATTTTTTCAGGATCGTGAATTAGGCGATGAATACGGTTGGAAACAGGTGCATGGGGATGTTTTCCGCTCACCACCTCATTCATCTTTATTAGCTAGTTTAGTTGGAACAGGAATTCATATTGCCGTGGTCTCATCCGTAGTATTATTTTTGGCACTAACTAATAAATTATACACCGAACGTGGAAGTTTCATTTCTACTGCCATATTTGTTTTCGCTACTACTTCACCGGTAAATGGATTGGTTGGTGGCAGTCTATATGCACGCATGTCTGGTAAGTCACTTGTTTGTATTATCTTTGTATGTTATCATTGCCAATCGTTTTCGTTCTCTAGTGGTAGTATCGTAAATCCTAAGCGAATTAGCAAAACATCGATTAGATTGTTTTTAGTGTTTCTTTTTCACTGACTTTAAGTCAATTGGGTGAAATGCTATAATGACTGAACACTCACAATGTGATAAACCTTTTAAATGTTTTATATCCTATGAATATAACTAACAGAGAAAGAATACGGGATTCAACGTAACTGGTGACTAGAAAAGTTTTATGTAATACTGTAATTGCAGCTGGTAGTCTCTGTAAAATTTAATGCCCGTTTCCTTGATACATCTGAAAAGTTTATTGTCCTCGCTTCTAGCTGCTACCTTGATTTCGTGATTGGGCTTGGATACCATGATAACGCTTTCGAGATATATTGGCCGGATCACTTTCTTTTTAGCTCTACTATGCCAGGCAGGTCGGTTGGAAAACGGTAAGATTAAGAGCAGCAAACTCGTGGTTGGTCAGCAAAGTCGTACTGCCAACTATGTACGGGTATAATAATGTTTCCCTGAAACGACCAGCATCTACAGTGTTTCAGCAGCTCAACAACGGAAGGAAGGAGTTATTTATTTTATTTATTTGAACACATAAATAATGGTACAAAGGGGCGCCAGATACATGATCGCCACACAATAACAATGAGAATATGAAGAGATAAAGAGTGTAAGGTGCGTATAAGAAAAAAGGGAACATTAAAGAACAGAAATTAGTGTATGATAGTGAAATAATAATGAGGAAAGAAGCAGTTCAGTTAGCAAAGGTACAGCCAGAAATAATTCCTCCAGTTACAGAAGTTACGTCCTTTTTTATGAAGAAAGTAAAATAAGGTTACAACAGGACCGCCACTGGCTTCTATTCTGAGCCATATCTGATAACGTCTCTAGCTACTGTGTCGCACCATCTCTCGGACCCCAGCCAGGGAGTCGTGAAGGACCAACGGAAGCCAGTCCAGTACATCTTTGTCTCATACCACGACACCATGTCATACACTGACCACCTCTCCGCTTTTTCCAACCAGTCCCAGCGTCGGTAAATTATGCACGACGTGGAATTCATAGAACATGTCCAAGCCACCGAACACGAAGTTTCAAGATAGTGACACCGATTGAATTATCGTCGCTGTGCTTGAACACACGATGCCGAACCTCTGCATTACTAACATGGTGTTGCCATTGGAAGAAAAAGAAGAAACTATTATGGAGGACAACTGGAAAGGCATCAAGGAAGCATTAACTTCAACGTGTCAAGAGGTTCTGGGTCTAAAGAAATACCATCATAAGGAATGGATCTCTATAGAAACACTGGACAAGATCAAAGAAAGGAAGAACAAGAAGGCAGCAATAAACAACTGCCGAACACGAGCAGAGAAAGTCCAAGCACAAGCTGAATACATAGAAGCAAACAAACAAGTGAAGAGGAGTATTAGGGCCGACAAGAAGAAATACGTGGAAGAACTAGCAACGACGGCAGAAAAAGCTGCTAGAGAAGGAAATATGAAACAGCTTCACGATACAGCGAAGAAACTAGCTGGGAAATACAGTAAACCAGAGAGGACGGTCAAAGGCAAAGAAGGCAAGCGAATCACCGAAATTCAACGACAGCGGAACAGATGGGTAGAACACTTCGAGGAACTCCTGAATAGGCCGGCTCCAATGAATCCACCGGACATCGAAGCAGCACACATAGATCTTCCTATAGATGTCAACCCACCAACGAAGGAAGAAATCAGAATGGCCGTCAGACAAATCAAGAACGGGAAAGCAGCAGGACCCGACAACATACCAGCTGAAGCACTGAAATCAGACATCGAAGCAACCACAAGCATGCTTTACCTTCTATTCAAAAAGATTTTGGAGGAGGAACAAGTGCCGATGGACTGGAAAGAAGGGCACCTCATCAAGATTCCAAAGAAAGGAGATCTGAGCAAATGTGAAAACTATAGAGGCATTACACTGCTGTCAATACCAGGGAAGGTCTTCAACAGAGTGTTGCTGAACCGGATGAAAGATACAGTAGACGCCCAACTTCGAGATCAACAAGCTGGATTCCGTAAGGATCGATCATGCACAGACCAAATTGCAACACTACGGATCATCGTCGAAGAATCAGTTGAGTGGAACTCGTCACTATACATCAACATTGATTTTGAAAAAGCATTCGACAGTGTAGATAGGAGGACATTATGGAAACTTCTTCGACACTACGGAGTTCCTGAGAAGATTGCCAACATTATCCGGAACTCATACGATGGACTACAGTGCAAAGTCGTGCATGGAGGTTAGCTGACAGATGCATTCCAAGTAAGAACCGGAGTCAGACAAGGCTGTTTACTCTCTCCCTTCCTCTTTCTTCTGGTGGTCGACTGGATTATGAAGACCTCAACATCTGGAGGAAAACACGGAATTCAATGGACAGCTCGAAATCAATTAGACGATTTGGACTTCGCAGATGACCTAGCCTGAAGGGAAGCGAAAAGAGGAAGGCCTAAGAACACATTACGTCGGATGATATAAGCAGATATAAAAACGATGAATTACAACTGGACGGAGCTAGAAAGGTTTGCCCAGGACAGGGTTGGATGGAGAATGCTGGTGAGCGGCCTATGCCCCTTCACGAGGAGTAACAGGCGTAAGTAAGTAAGTAAGTTGTCATTGGATGTCAGCAATCCTTCGGACACAACGATGATCAAACACAGAGAGTCGTCTAACATCCTCAACTCGGAGGTCAGGTTTCACAATCATATAGCAAAACTGCTCTCACCGACGCGTTGTAGATCCGACCTTTTACAGCCAGACTGACATCACGAAGGCGCCAAAGATGGCCCAGATTGACATAAGCTGATCTGGTTTTCACTATACGTGCATTGATCTTATCATCCACACCACCACCAGTACTTATGCAGCCTCCCAGATACATGGACTTCTCGACGAGTTCTGTCTGCTCACTACCCAGGGTGAGTCCAGGATCAGGGCTCTGTCAGTCTTGTAAAAGTACTTTGCACTTAGAAGGTGAGAAGAACATACCATACATACGGACACTAATTGCCAACTGGTTAAGTGCGGATTACATGGCTTAAGAATTATCGCACAGTAAGAAAATATCGGCATGCTCAAGTCTAGAAGACTCTCCAAGCAACAGATTCACACCGTCATTACTTACATCCATCAGAATTGTTTCCAGAACGTAGTCAATTCGCAAAGTTGAGGAATGGTGAGATTGAGCAACCCTGTCTAACCCCACTGCTTGAATGGGACGATAGAGAGAGATGGTTGTATGCTCTCACTCCGCTTGGGGTGCAAACTTTCAGACACACACTTCAAAAGACAATCCCAGTGAACCGTCTAGTCCGTCCTGTCATCTGGGCCTAGTGATATGTGGCGCTTCGAGAGTTGGATTTCCTTGTGGACGTCCGCCTCATTTGATGGATCAGTCGTCACAGGACACGGAGGACAGGATAGTCTAATGGATGTTGTTGGGGTAGCAGACCAGTCGAACTGTTCCTCGAAAAACTTCCCATCGTCCAAGACATCGATACATGTTAGTGATCGGCATCCCGTCATCTCCACAGATTGTTTCGCTCACAACAAACTTCTTCCTGTCAGTGGTTTGGATAAGTTGAAAAAGCCTCCGACATGCTGTACTATTCTAAGGTCACAAAGTGAGTAATACCTGTGTAAGGGATATAGTACTATGTAATAATAACAGACCGATTGATGAAGTAGTAAGTATTCATCAATTGAGGTGGTTGAGACTTGTGTTACGTATGCTTAATCTCTGCCTACTTCAACGGGCGATGTTTTCTAGTGTAGGAGTAGACCGGAAGAAATTTAGTGGCAGCCTAACCAAAACATGGCATTGGCCCATGAAGTCACTGACAATTGGATTGACCCATGTTAAAAAGTATAGATAACCTGGTTGGGGTCCGTGTGATTATCGTAACCAATGGTTAAAGACTTTGAAAGACACGGCTCAAAATCGTTTGCAGTGGCGCAGTGCATTCGTTCTATATCTTCCCCTAAATTCACTGTAACCTTTTTTGATTTTGCTTCACTAAATTATTTTTTTTTCGAATAGTATCTCCGATGCCCATTCTTCCCCATTACCACTGATACTTACTACCTCTACTATTCTGTGATTTGGCCTGACAATTCCATGCCTCTGTGCTACTGGGGTATGACAACTTGAACTGATGTACTTACGTACCTTGTGACTGACAAGTCCCCCAAATTTTATCGGAGTTGAAAAAGTCATAACTAATTTGAGGCAGGTCAGAGTAGCAGAATCCAGAGTCTTGTAAGAATGGTGGATTAGTTTACCAATTAGGTGAAATGAGATACCAAAATCTGAACGTATTTTCTCCTGACTAGTATCATTCGACGATCTCCCCAGTTTAAAAATAGAACGGAAACTCCTATGTGGTAACAGCAGAGGAATTAATTCGAGCATCGTAGCGTCTAAAACACTAGTCGCAATAGTCATCCGACGCGTAATCAGGGCTTGTGATTTGGAAAATCGAAAACCCAGGTTGGATCGAGATCTGTGTGTGAGTGTAGGTCAAATACCCTTTTCTATTCACATTTTCTAGACTCTACTTTCTGACTATCTGACCGACTGACAAATTTCTGGTTCAAACGTGCACATACGACTACCCGATCTCTAAGCACCAGCTAATTTCCTTAATCGCGATAGTTTCAGTATTAAAAATATTGCAGTTATCTGGAGTGTGAATGCGAGGACTAATTTCATAAGAACATGTCGAATTTCTTAATCTCCTTGTGTTTTGGTTTTGGACGTTGGAAATGGTGTTGGTTGTATTAAATTCTGTACCGTTTAATGACAATGGGACATTTACTTTCTAGTTTCGGAGTATCATTTTGTCTAGATAATTCATCCACCTGACCAAACTAGGCTATCTGTTTTTATTTAATTATAAATTGTGTACAGGTATTATGACGTTGCTAATGAGTCACAATATAAAATGGAATGCCTCTTTCGCATGCAAAAATGAAAATGCGCGGTTTGTGGTCTACAGATAAATTAAATTAGGGACTAAATCATTTTGTGCAATTTCTTGACTGAAAAGAATAACCCTGAAACGTTTTATATCTGACTGTATTTGGGTTCAGTAGGGTTAAGTTCTGGGTGCACGTGCTATTGATTTTGACTTTACATCTGGAAAACGTTATTTGATAACTGGATCACTATCATAATTAGAAGTATCGGCGGATTCAGTTATATCTAGTTTAGGATTATAGTACATCAACAGTAAATTAGTGGATAAAAATCGATTCTCCGTGGATAATCTATTCGTCGAATTTACAAAATACTATACTATCATAATCATATCAAGAAGTGACTCTAGGTTAGCTAAATATGAAGGTGTCAGTATTTGTTTGGTATGACTCATGTAATTTGGATTCTTCCGATGATCATTTTTATGAAAAATAAATCCAGGATACTTAACAGATTAAAAGAAAATATTACAAATTAAACAGATAATAGCAGTACATGTTATTTTCAGTAACCACTAAATAGGTATTAAAAGCATCAAAATAATTCGAAAATGTTTTTCCAACAAGTAGCCGAAACGTTTCATGCAATACAAGAAAGGCCTGAATACTCATCCAACTTGGATTGTTTGTCCAAACAGCTACATTTAACTCCATTCATTCCCGGCCCAATCTCCACTTATATTCAAATTCTAACTGGATTCTTCCATATTACAAATTGGGCATTTTTCATAACCACCATCATACACAGAATGACGTCTCATACAGAAACACCTTAATCAAAAATTCCATATGACATTGATATAATCAAACCTATGTCCGGTGGAACTTAATACTTCGTCCTTTTCCTGTTTTATTTAAGGTGTGTTAGTTTGAATGCATTATCTACTTATTTACTCTGAAGAATTGGCTTACATAAAGTCGCGAAAGGTCAAGAATTTTAATTGTCATTCTTCATAATATTACAAATATATTTTATTGAAAATTGGGAAATTCCAAATATTTACTTTTGTGCATCTTAAATATATGGAAAAGAGACAAATTGGAGCATGAAAATATAATTTTTTCGTATTCGTATATTTACGTGGTAGAATATGTGATATATGTGAAATCATGAACAGCTGAGTAAGGCTCAGAAGTATAAAATAGAGCATTAGAAATGACATAAAACCATAGGAAAATTCCTCATAACTCACAAAAACGTGGCCAAGAAGATTCATTTGAAAGGATTTAGCGAAGCTTAATAAATTTGAATTCCTTTTTTGTTTTTGTTGAGGCATTTCAAACAATCAACATCATGCTTTCCAACAGTCGCAAACATTTTCCGTCCAGTTACACTTTGTTGATGGTGTCAGAAATTGTGGACACTAATTATCCTTTCTGTTCTTCCTGGGTATGTGTTACACAGGTACACGTAAACTAGTAAAAACATTAGGAGGTTACAGAAGGGGGAATTTATTCAATTTGGATTATCTGAATGGATATTTCACTTGGTACAGGCAGACAAATTAATCGGATGGATTTATCATTCTTAGTATTAGCTGTAGTTTAAAATCAATCTTTCCATCCATTTTATAGGTCTTGAACAAAGTTTTAGAAAGTTTTTTTTTCAACCCTAGTCCTTTTGCTTTCCTATGTTCTAGTAGTTCCATATTTAGTCATGACTGCGTAAAACCGAGCTTTCATAACTAATCCAGTCATTTATCAGCTTTCTCAGTTTAAAAATATTACACTTATGTTTTTGAAAACAAAAATCAGATCTTGCCACAAATATATTTTTGCTCTCAATTATGTAACGGTCATACATGATCTTGAGTACAGTTAAATGTTTTTCGTATATATCTGCTAAAGCCAATAGTTTGATCTCGATAGTTACATTCGAAGTAAATAGTCAGTGTATTAGTTAACGCCTGTTTGCCCACGCAACAAATCTTTCATTTGAAACTGCAACTAAACATTATAAGGCTCTTTGTTCTGAAATTAAACTTGAAAATCACGTGGCAATATGAATCGAATACCTCAATGCATTATAAGTAACAAATCCCAATATGTGTATAATTAGGATCTTTTTCATTCAAATTCTTAGTAAAATATTTGTGAATTTGAAAAGATTCGGTAATAGTTAATGGGTCAAACGAAGCTTAGAATTCGAACAAAGTCAAAACGTCATAAGTCATCTATCAATTGTTAAAGAGTTCCGAAGTATTCCTCGTAAAAGTTCATAGAGGGCCGGAAAACTTTGCGAAACATTTTTTTCCAAATCAACGTCGAGTAGAAAGTGAGGAGTATTATGCCACGTTTCTGATTGGATAATTACCTACGCTGCTACTATATCTAGTATTGTACTAGAAGCCTAAATCCTTCTGTAATACTATAAAAAGCCTCGTTTTTCTGTACATTAACTAGCCTTAGAGTAAAGTGTTTTTGCTCTTCATGTCTTTTTTCTTGTATCCAAGTTACCTTGTAGATTTAACCTAGGGTCACTGACGGAAATGTGAAACTACGTGCAATTATACTTTATCTTATTGGCTAGTACGATCCTCATCGCGATATTCGGAGATTTTTATGCTCAGATTTATTATTTATTTGAACACATAAATAATGGTACAAGAGAGCACCAAATATATATGCGCCACACCATATTTGTCTGTGGGCTGTGATACTGCCCGGGTGCCCAAACCGAAGCAGGTGGTTTTCTTAGGAGGCCACACCCCGAGCCTTCGACCTAAAGGTCTGATCCACAAGGCAGTGGAGCATCGTAAGAAGATGCAGTCCCATGGTAGCCGGTGACCAACGGTTGGTTCATACGCCACTTGTTCCTTCAGGATACTGGAGCCCATGTGCACCATTGGTTTGGGATCAGGGTTTTCCAACCCCCCCCCAAGTGGACTCTCCATGTCCACCAACCCGGTTAAAGTGCCGGACGTTTGCTTTTCGTCCTCTCAATCTCGTAAACAACACCCCGCCACGAGAAGGCAGTAAGTAGTACTTCCCTAGCAGAGGCTGTATACGCGTGGCCGTGCGAGAGCATTTTGAGAGGGAGAGCAGGGTCACCCCACTCTCGGCTGTACCAGGGCATTTGGGGGCCTCAGAAAATTACGTTGTTATCTGTCTTCATTTGATATCCATTCTAAACTAAAATCAAACGTATGCCTAGTGCTCCATCATTCTAGTGTTTTCGAATTGAAAACCATATTCAAACTGAACAATATGTTAGTCGAATCCTGGTGCCAAAAAAGATTAATTACCAGTTAATTATTCTTCCTGTTAGTGACTTATCACCTATGTAAGGTACTGAAATAAATAAATGATGTAGAATCTTAGGGGTTTCAATTTAAGTTACCTTATTTAGGGTTAATTAATTTGGAAAGTTTTCGAAAACCAATTACTATTGTTATTTTTATGGGTCGTTCTCAGATAATTACATTTTTGTTTACTATGATGAAATGTTATCCGTATCTAAAACGTTTATCTTATTCTAATTGTTTTTCCTTCTGATGACTCTTTTCTCTATCTTTTCTGGGCTACAGAGTGTGTGGTGCAACGCTTTATCGCTTATTTAAGCTCGAAATTCCAATGGGTTTTAAAACATTTAAGGGAATTTGTAAAAGTAATTATTTTATCAATCTGTGAAATTTCTAAAATCTCCACAAACCCCTTCTGATAATAATCATCTGCTCACTAGTGACTGACTTCAGGAGACACTTCTGGAGTTCTAGTGGGAAGTCGTTACCAGTGGAGTTCAACCAGGTCTGTTGTAAGATATCAACTCAATGAAAACAATGGTATACGGTGGCACTACTTCGGGGATTGGTTGAAGTTTGACATTAACACCGTTGGATGCCGGCTCAGTGGTCTAATGGTTAAGTGCTCGCGCGCGAAACCAGTAGGTCCTGGGTTCGAATCCCGCGGGGTGCGGGATCGTGGGTGCACACTTCTGAGGAGTCCCATACTAGGACGAAACGGCCATCCAGTGCTTCCAGGTGTTCCATGGTGGTCTAGCTTCAACTGACTCATGATTTCAATCTGTGGAATTATTTTATTGCCTAAAATTTTGTGTGGTTATTGTTTTCTCTCTTATCAGCGTTGTTATTCAAAATTTTTGTTTCTAATTTGAAGTAATTAGTCCACTACAGTTTCCTTTATTTTTATTTTTGTTCGAACGTTTCATTTTCTCTCAGGCAAACGCTGGATTCGTCAATTCCTTATGGGTGCTACGTTACTGCCTTTCCTAATATGTTGTTTCACTTTTCTGGTAGATCTTGTTGCCATATACTACCGTACAAGTCGGTCTATCCCTTTCTTCACAATGCTCTCCATCACTTCCATTATCTTATTCGTAGTCATTCCATTAAATTTAGTTGGTACTGTGTTAGGTCGTAATATATTTGGTTTAGCGAATTTCCCATGTCGAGTGAATCCTGTTCCTAAAGCAATACCGGAAAAGAAATGGTTTATGGAACCGTCATTTCTCATTATTGCAAGTGGACTATTACCTTTTGGATCAATTTTTATTGAACTGTAAGTCTATATACTAGTTGTATACAACCAGATCCGTACTTATATTTACCAGTAATTGTTGATTTAATCCTTCCATTATATTGAACAGGTCTTAGAAACTGACATTTTACGAATCATTAACCAATATAGGTGGCATCAAATAAATGCTGCTTTTCTTTTTGTCGTCAATCATAAGCAACTTAGTGCCTGGAGCAATTTTTCGACCGCCCAAGTTGTCATGCTTCATAGAACAACGGGATGAAATCAAAAAGAAATAATAGTGACTAAATTAAGCATTGGCGAATGTATTTCAAAAAGAGGGTGTGTATAATGACTCTTGCTGTTACCTTGATATGGTGGTCTGTTGCGATGACTCATTTGAACCATATTAGCTCGAATACTTTTTCTTCGATGCACTTTCATGATGGGAAGGTCTAATAAAGAACGGTAAAATCAAAGGTAATATGTCTAAAGTCATATTTCAAATCTATTGCGATGTAATAGCAACGAGCTGTCCCCAACACTCGACCAATATTTTCTAAAATAAACGAGTCAAAGTAAGTCGACCGTCAAAATCAATTAGTTTTTTTGAGAATATGACTATCAAGTTGCTTCTTGGTGAATATGGTCTATTGTCTAGGTATGTGACTTCATCTCTACAGAGCTATGGTTTAAGTGCGAGCGACGGGAGTTCTTTTGTACACGAAGCTCTCATTCATGTTTGTTGTTCTCTGGTTCCATGTAACTTAAACATGATATATATACGTGCTCGCGCTAGAGCATGATCTGAATCTAAGCATGTGCTCCAGGATGAGTGATAGTCTTCTATCGAGTCCCTCCATCGGCGACTGATAGCAATGTGATCTAGTTGGGTCGAACGTTCGGAAGATTCCGCGGGTCGCCATGTCAAAAGATGTTTTTTTCTTATGCGTAAAGTTCGTATTTGCTAGAAACAGACAGTTATTTGAGCATAGCTGGAACAGACGATCGCCATTATCTGTTCTTTGAGCCACGACAACATAAGATCCACCCAGGTGTCCTTCCTTTTCGCTTAGTTTACCTACTTGAGCATTAAGGTCACAGCCATTATTACTATATCAGAGCGCCTAGCTTTTCGGTGAAGGTCGGAAAGCTTTCTGTAAAATTCGTCTTTAACATCATCTGAGCTGCAGTCAGTAGAAGAGTAGGCAGAGACGACGAAGAGGCAACGACGTGTGTCCCTATCTTTCCGAGTCCTTGCTGTTCCGTTTAGTCGGACAGCGCACAAGCGACTGTCTACTGGGATCCTGTGTTCGGATGTTCAAAGCTATTTTAGAGGGTGGTTTCAGAAGACCGGGAATAACGTTCCACGTACTCGAATCGTTTGCACTAGCGGTGCGAGATGGTAAAGATACGTGGGAATGATTAGTCGTGATGATAAGAGAGTTATTGGGAGGTGTAGGAAGGATTTGATTTTGATCAACTTGGTCTCGTGTTCTGTTACGTGTATGAGGGCTGACATCACTTCCCGGCTGCCCACACTGTGGAATGTTTGTATTATATAGTACATAGTCCGATTGTTTTCTGTTTTCACTTTTGGTAAAGCAATGTTTAGTATGTTGCACATCTGTCCCAATGTATGTGGTTAAATAATCTACCTAGAAATCTCCATTTCTTTGAAAACATTAATCCAATCACTGTTTTTAGCAATCTCGACCGAATTTTAAATATTAAGTATTTTACCATGTATGACATAAGTTTATTATTGGTATTATTATCACCCTGTAAAAATAAGTATATATATATTTGCGATTGTACAGCTTTGAAAATGAATTCGCCGAAAAGAGAACTCTTCGCTGAACTATTTTTTTCTTATTTAATGTCATAATGGGTATATTCCGTTTATTTTACTTTCACTCTACGCAAAGTATCGAAGTGGTTCAGACCAAAAACGAACATACATTTCTTCATGTAGGATTTAATACTGATAGTGAAATCGGTCAGTAATATGCAACATGGAATCTGCGACACATTTACATGGGTTCCACTTGTCACATCATATCACCACAGTGAGATAAAATCATCAAATCTAATCTCATGGTAGTAGAAGTAGTATCATTTACATCTGTAGTAGAACAGATCAAGCATGATAAGAAATAAAACAATTGTAAGTGGGTTTCAGAACTCAGTAAAGTGAATTCATCTGATAGACAAATGTCAACTAAACTCCAAAACCGTTTCATCACTTTTCTTTTAGCTATCGTCGAGTGACCATCTACTATTACTTCAACTAAATGTTGGTATCAGTAAATGAAAATATACATCAAACTTAATTTTACATAATCAGAAGAGAATATTTTTTTATTTTATAACCAGGAAATTCATACTACAACTTTTCACCTTTTCTCTTTCTAATTGATGAATTGTAGATATTTTGTCTTCACATCATTTTGGGCGTATAAAATTTACTTTGTTTTTGGCTTCACTTTGCTTGTTTTATTTCTTCTAATTGCTGTGACATCATCTGTTACTGTTGTGGGCACCTATTTCTTGTTGAATTCTGAGGATTATCGTTGGTAAGTGAAATTAACTCAATTATTTTGTAGTTTTACTATAAAAACTTGTGTAGTGTCGGGTTACTGACCAATCCACTTAATTTCCTGACAGGTCTCAAGTTTGAATCCTCTCCGCTGACTGAGGTTCGGGTATCCTGAATACAGAAATCCCTACTTTATATCTGATCTATTTCTTCTCTGTCTAATTTTAAAAAAACTGCATATGAGAATGGTCTTACTTAATAGCAGTATGAAATATTATACTGAAGATCTGCGGTTATCGTTAAGATAATAATGCAACTCTACTTTGCCGCTTTGTTTCAACTCAAATTCTTGTTAAATGTGTATTTTCTCCTATGATGTTGATAGATCCCTAAGATTGTCATTGATCTGGATGCAACTCATGGTAAAGTTAATATCACATTTCGCTAGCATAAGTTTAGGGATGTAACGTAAAAGCACATTAAGTCCTTTCATACATTTCTTCAACAGATTCACAATTCCCATCTAAATATTCTTATCAGGATTAATCCACATACATATATCCATACGCATTAGTATTTTTGGTAGCCTAGTTTATTTTGAAATTAACTTGTCCATAATTTAACGTTAGCTATTGAGTGACTAGAAGGAGATAACAATGCTTAACTGTTTCATTTTAGTTTAAGACATATACTGTAACGCATTTACCTAAGTTTCGGCTTTATGGCACTTTCTGTGTAAGTACCAGTGGTACTGTTTTGTTGGTCAGAAAAAGGTTGTTGAAGCAAGATTCAGGCCTGTAATACGACGGTAAAAAAAAATCGAGAGATCTAACCACTTAGTCTCCACAAATCGTTGTACCGTCAAATCTTTATAACATCTTAGATTCCATTCATTGAAGCGATTTGAAACTGCATACTTTCTAACATTATCAAACTATGCTGTTCATTGGAAAACTAGTTTCTGAATTTTCTTAGCAAATTATTTTTAATGAATTGGAAAAACCACCGAGTTCAACTAGAACAACGTACACTTAAACACCAAGGTTTATTTGCATTAAAATAGTATTAATCGCACTGTCATATATTGATGAATATTCCTGTATTCCTGTGACGACTGACCACCTGTGAACTCGAGGAAACTGTAAGAGGCTCACAAGAAGCCGAAGACGTCTCATCCAATCACCTTTCGGAAGAATGTTCTAGAATTCCAACGTGTAGCTTCCCGATTGGATAATGCTAATAACCCCCTGCATGTGGATTGGAAGGCTGTAATGATGATTTTGTTCTCACTAAAAACTATAAATACCTGACAAATTTGTACTATGATTGACACTTTGGAATAATATTCCTTTCATTAGTCTTCTGATTGCGGCTTGGAAGGGTTTTGGTGTTCTAGTGCTCTGTTATACGCGGTATATCGAGAAAAATCAGTTTTCAAGGTATAACAATTCCTTTTCTTATGTGTTTATATTGGATGGCCTTTATTATTATTGTTATTACTGTTAATATCTTGCTTTATCAGGCAATGGACAAGTTTTCTTTCTGGTGCATCGATCACGTTTTATGCATATTTATATTCGATTTACTACTACTTCTTCAAAACCAAGTGAGTATCTGTCAACATATGTTTCCTTGTATTTCAACTTTGGACTGCTATTTTAGTATATAACATGTCATCGATATCTTCAATAAATTGCTTATATTCAGTGGTGTCATTTTCTAAGTGATCCTGATGTCCATGATTGTGTTTACACTTTTCAAACAGGGTAGTTCCATTCTGTCCCAATGGATCGTGTGACTTATATGTTTCCCCAGTTGGATCTGAATGGCTCACCATTTAGCGATATTGGACTAGGTAGAGGCGGAATAGTGGTAAATTTGCGATGTGGTGTTGAGAAATGAAGGATAGTCATATCGAATTTGTGTATATTCATTTATCACGACACTGTGGGTTCTAAATTGTCATGCAACTCATTATCTTAAGACATTTATAAGACCTGACTTAAAACAAAAATCATTGATGGCCTCGCTGTAGTTTTCTACATTATACTTCACAAACAGTAAAACATGCTTTCCAACTAAATGAAATCTATCTTTTTATGTCTGGTTTTGCCACGTAAAACACATTTTTCAAAGCTCTATTTAACCAAATATTTAATGTTACAATTAAAAGTAGGTAGTATGGTGTGTAGTAGTAATGACTGGAATGTAAAATCCTCACTATTAATATTCTTCTTTGTTCCAATTTCAGAATGTTTGGTCTATTTCAAACTACTTTCTATTTCGGTTATATGGCATTGTTTTGCCTATGTATAGGGTTACTTTGTGGTAAGTCTCTTTGGTCGCACACTTTTAGACTTATTCGAATATGAGGTAACGCCGAATTCTTTGTTCTTCTAGCAGTACATCAAATAAAAATACTAGTGCTTTGAGTGGCGATTTCAGAATTTCGAATATTAAGTACTTTTCAGCAGACAAGTCCAATTCTAGTCTGCACTGTCACGTTTACAAATAAAGGCTTAACTGTTCGAGCCCTTACTTATAATTAGGTCATCGACGAAGTCTCAGTAGAAATATGAAAGTCTTATTCGTGATCTAACACACTGCACCATGGAAAGGGACTGATGAGGTATCTACCTATGTTACGTCCTTGATCTGTCTACCCACTATCTAGATTAAGACCTTGATGCGATAGGTTGACTGGCTTAACCTTGAGGCTAGCATGCATGAGTTCGGAGTGAGACCAACTGCTTGGCATAGAGAGACGAGAACTATTCTATCACCTGATGGGTTGACAAGCACTCAAACGAGAGAAGACAAATCAACTGGAACACTACTCAATTTATTCTCAATCCCACTCTGGTTCCTGATTCAGATTAGCGTAAAAAGATACATAAATAGATTGATGACTAACCAGACTACAACGCACAAACAATCAGGAAACTACAATTTTGTTCAAACTGGGGATTATAGTAGAATATAGGGTATAAAATATTACGTTTAAATTATAGTAACCTTGGAACGAAAAAAGACTATGGCAGTGAATTATACATCGAAAGAAAGCTTATGGTCTGTAAAATACACTTGGGACAAATGTATATATTGCTGTATTACAAGATTTGAATTAAAGAGGATAACGTCCCAAAAAATAGCTTCCGTAGTCAAGATTTCTTGTTTTTCTGTTCACATCAACCTATTAGGAAACAAGCTTCTTGTGTAACACTTCTCATTAACTTTGAACCTGTGAATTCACACTATTATTCTAAAGGTCATTAGCGATGTTTAACTTGATTGTTTCAAATAAATTAAACGTTTCGTTAACAGTTGTTTGCTATACTACTTCTTATGAATATCCAAAACAGTGAGAATTGAAATTTTCGACATCTCGCGACTTAATGTAAGCCAATTCTTCAGAGTAAATAAGTAGATAATGCATTCAAACTAACACACCTTAAATAAAACAGGAAAAGGACGAAGTATTAAGTTCCACCGGGCATAGGTTTGATTATATCAATGTCATATGGAATTTTTGATTAAGGTGTTTCTGTATGAGACGTCATTCTGTGTATGATGGTGGTTATGAAAAATGCCCAATTTGTAATATGGAAGAATCCAGTTAGAATTTGAATATAAGTGGAGATTGGGCCGGGAATGAATGGAGTTAAATGTAGCTGTTTGGACAAACAATCCAAGTTGGATGAGTATTCAGGCCTTTCTTGTATTGCATGAAACGTTTCGGCTACTTGTCTTTTTTATAGTTGGAAAAACATTTTCGAATTATTTTGATGCTTTTAATACCTATTTAGTGGTTACTGAAAATAACATGTACTGCTATTATCTGTTTAATTTGTAATATTTTCTTTTAATCTGTTAAGTATCCTGGATTTATTTTTCATAAAAATGATCATCGGAAGAATCCAAATTACATGAGTCATACCAAACAAATACTGACACCTTCATATTTAGCTAACCTAGAGTCACTTCTTGATATGATTATGATAGTATAGTATTTTGTAAATTCGACGAATAGATTATCCACGGAGAATCGATTTTTATCCACTAATTTACTGTTGATGTACTATAATCCTAAACTAGATATAACTGAATCCGCCGATACTTCTAATTATGATAGTGATCCAGTTATCAAATAACGTTTTCCAGATGTAAAGTCAAAATCAATAGCACGTGCACCCAGAACTTAACCCTACTGAACCCAAATACAGTCAGATATAAAACGTTTCAGGGTTATTCTTTTCAGTCAAGAAATTGCACAAAATGATTTAGTCCCTAATTTAATTTATCTGTAGACCACAAACCGCGCATTTTCATTTTTGCATGCGAAAGAGGCATTCCATTTTATATTGTGACTCATTAGCAACGTCATAATACCTGTACACAATTTATAATTAAATAAAAACAGATAGCCTAGTTTGGTCAGGTGGATGAATTATCTAGACAAAATGATACTCCGAAACTAGAAAGTAAATGTCCCATTGTCATTAAACGGTACAGAATTTAATACAACCAACACCATTTCCAACGTCCAAAACCAAAACACAAGGAGATTAAGAAATTCGACATGTTCTTATGAAATTAGTCCTCGCATTCACACTCCAGATAACTGCAATATTTTTAATACTGAAACTATCGCGATTAAGGAAATTAGCTGGTGCTTAGAGATCGGGTAGTCGTATGTGCACGTTTGAACCAGAAATTTGTCAGTCGGTCAGATAGTCAGAAAGTAGAGTCTAGAAAATGTGAATAGAAAAGGGTATTTGACCTACACTCACACACAGATCTCGATCCAACCTGGGTTTTCGATTTTCCAAATCACAAGCCCTGATTACGCGTCGGATGACTATTGCGACTAGTGTTTTAGACGCTACGATGCTCGAATTAATTCCTCTGCTGTTACCACATAGGAGTTTCCGTTCTATTTTTAAACTGGGGAGATCGTCGAATGATACTAGTCAGGAGAAAATACGTTCAGATTTTGGTATCTCATTTCACCTAATTGGTAAACTAATCCACCATTCTTACAAGACTCTGGATTCTGCTACTCTGACCTGCCTCAAATTAGTTATGACTTTTTCAACTCCGATAAAATTTGGGGGACTTGTCAGTCACAAGGTACGTAAGTACATCAGTTCAAGTTGTCATACCCCAGTAGCACAGAGGCATGGAATTGTCAGGCCAAATCACAGAATAGTAGAGGTAGTAAGTATCAGTGGTAATGGGGAAGAATGGGCATCGGAGATACTATTCGAAAAAAAAATAATTTAGTGAAGCAAAATCAAAAAAGGTTACAGTGAATTTAGGGGAAGATATAGAACGAATGCACTGCGCCACTGCAAACGATTTTGAGCCGTGTCTTTCAAAGTCTTTAACCATTGGTTACGATAATCACACGGACCCCAACCAGGTTATCTATACTTTTTAACATGGGTCAATCCAATTGTCAGTGACTTCATGGGCCAATGCCATGTTTTGGTTAGGCTGCCACTAAATTTCTTCCGGTCTACTCCTACACTAGAAAACATCGCCCGTTGAAGTAGGCAGAGATTAAGCATACGTAACACAAGTCTCAACCACCTCAATTGATGAATACTTACTACTTCATCAATCGGTCTGTTATTATTACATAGTACTATATCCCTTACACTGGTATTACTCATTCACTCATTAAAACATGTACTGATGTTGTCAATTTAATTTGTAAATTTTTTAGCTAATTAGTCACAATATTGAGTGTTAACTTATGATCATCGTGTGGAAATTAACTGAATATGTGGTTATGCTAGATGCTTATTATTTGATTGATGATTATATATATATGTCAATCCTTTTTTCTATATGTTTACTTTCTATTATAACCAGCTGTGCATGAAAACTTAAACACGTATATCTCTCTTTTTCAAGGTTCAGTTGGATACATTGCTGCTAATAGATTCGTTCGTAAAATATACTCAGTTGTCAAGGTGGATTGAAATGCCTAATCACGTACAGATATTGTTTCTCTTTGTTTTTGTATGAAATTCTTAAGCTGTGATTATTGTCAACGTTTTTTCCTCTTCCTCACCTTCTGATCTTTGTGTATGTTTTTTCCACTATTCTGTTAGACTTCGATTTTGGTGTGAGTTGTTTGGGAATTATCATCTATGGTCAGTATTTTATTTCTTAAATTAGCGTTGTTCATATAAGCACACTTCAATGCTTCATTTGTGTTTGAGGAATTGAGTTTTTATTCTTACATTACCATTAATTATAATTAAGTTTCGTTATAATTTTTGGATTTTTTTCTCTATTCACTCATCGTTTTCACTGTTTCTAGGTTGTTTCCAGTCAAATGTAACGAACTGTACTTTGTTACCCATTGTGAATGGCGACATGATATAAAGAGTAATTTGTATCCATCCTTTTATTGTCACATAGAATGTTTATCTTGATAAATAGCTTCACATGTGAGTGATATGCTAAAATGATTAGAAGTAGTCGAGTTGATGTGCTGACTAAGAATTCCCCAAATAGCCCAATCTATGAGAAGTTAAAATAGACCAGCACAATCGAACGTGATATATTTGGAATTGGTAATAAGCCCGGAGTCAAGTACAAAGAAGTCATCAGTTAGTACAAATACCAATGTTCTTGAATGATAGTGTCTTGCTTAACTGTGCTATTCATGTCTCTGAATGAGGATAGCCGCATCCCAAAGATGTCCGCATTGTTGCTTAGGGTGGTCAAAAGTCTAGTTTGTTAGCGTCTTCATCAAACGGAACTACATCATCTGGTAGTTCTATCCCTGAAAAGTCAGACGATGGAAGTGTTATTTCCAAAGGCATGTCTATGACAAAATGGGTAAATCGGACAACCCTGGCGAACACCACTTGCAGTAACCGATTCCGACGACAGTTCTTCACAAACTCCGACTCGATCAATACTGTTCGAGTAGGGCTTCTAAAGGGTCAGTGTACTTTCTTGGCACGACTTTCAATGACAGAGACCGCCACAAGACCTCACGTTCAACGGGGTTGAACTTCGACTCAGGGTCAAAGGATACGACTGTAGTCGGACATCGGAAGATACGTCCGTTTACCACGACCAGACGGACTTTGAATATTTAGTCTACACATCCAGGTCTGAGACCACCCATGTTTTTTCGGATTTGCTCTTCATGAGCTCTGCTTAGACATCGAAGTGCTATTGTGAATTATGTTTCAGACTCTATACTTACTTACGCCTGTTACTCCCAATGGAGCATAGGCCGCCGACCAGCATTCTCCAACCCACTCTGTCCTGGGCCTCCTTTTCTAATCCCATCCAATTCTTGTTCATCTTTTTAATATCTATTTCCATTTCTCGGCGTAGCGTGTTCTTTGGTCTTCTTCTTTTCCTTTGGCCTTGAGGATTCCATGTGAGGGCTTTTCTTGTGACGCAGTTGGGTGCTTTCCTCAATGTGTGTCTTATCCACTTCCAGCGCTTCTTTCTGATTTCTTCCTCCTCTGGGATCTGGTTTGTTCTCTCCCACAGTTGATTGTTGCTAATAGTGTCCGGTCAACGGATCCGAAGTATTTAATGTAGACAACTGTTAATAAACACCTGTATCTTCTGGATGATGGCTTTCGTAGTTCTCCAGGTTTCCGCCCCATACAGTAGAACTGTCTTGACATTTGTATTGAAAATCCTGACCTTGGTGTTGATTGACAGTTGCTTCGAGTTCCAGATGTTCCTCAGTTGTAAATATGCTGCTCTTGCTTTGCCGATCCGCGCCTTCACATCTGCATCAGATCCACCCTGTTCATCAATGATGCTGCCCAAATATGTAAAGGTTTTTACATCTTCCAAATCTTCGTCAAGTGTGATTGCATTAGTGCATGCTGTGTTGTATCGGAGAACCTTGCTCTTCCCTTTGTGTATATTGAGACCTATTGCTGCTGCTACACTGTTCGTCTTCTCCTGCATTTGTTGTTTCGTTTGGGATAGAAGGGCCAGATCATCTGCGAAGTCCAGATCGTCCAACTGCATCCTAGATGTCCATTGTATCCCGTGCTTCCCTTCAGATGTTGACGTCTTCATGATCCAGTCGATCACCAGGAGAAAGGGTGAGAGTAAGCAACCTTGCCTAACAGCGGTCTTCACTTCGAACGACTTTGTCAGCTGTCCTCCATGCACGATTTTGCAGTGTAATCCATCATAGGAATTCCGTATGATATTGACTATCTTCTGAGGCACGCCGTAGTGTCGAAGAAGTTTCCATAGTGTTGTTCTGTCCACGCTATCAAATGCCTTTTCGTAGTCAATGAAGTTGATGTAGAGTGTTGAATTCCATTCAATTGATTGTTCCACAATGATCAGTGGAGTTGCGATTTGGTCTGTACACGATCTTTCTCTACGGAATCCTGCCTGTTGGTCACGATGTTGGGCGTCTATGCAGTCCTTCATCCTGTTTAACAATACTCTGTTGAAGACGAGCCTGTCGCGACTGATACACGGACAAACAATAATGGGCCTTTGAGTACGCCTCAATTTTTAAAACCAATCAATTTTCCAAGGTGTCACTTCATCAATGGTCACGAGAAAACTGCTTTTCAATTAATAAATTACAGCTGTGTCTATAATAAACAACATTGTTACTGCTAATTGCTGCTCCTCTTGAAGTGTAAGCTTGGACTCAACAAATGTAATTTAGTTTATTTTCCAGGCTGAAGGTACATTGTGAAGAGTTTGAAAATAAACTTTAAGCTGACGACTCAGCAAGCACGTAGAATGAACTTTCACCTGACGAAGGAAGCAGTCTATGAGAATCTGTGCTGACACGGGCATACAACTAAGAATCGAAACTGGTTGGTGGCGTAATATTTTGAATACCAAAACATTTTGAGAAGATTGAAGGTCTCATTATATCGTCTACGTGTTTGTGCAGGACTGCGCGGAGCGTCAGTACGTGAGTCGAGGTGAGCCGTTGAGTTTAGGTCTGAATGGTTCGACATTGTGACTTCCGTTATCAATAACTTAGCATTTTGAAACACCATCTTAACATCAGCTGAAAAACAGGAACTTTGACTCATCTTTCCTCACTATTATTATTGTTTTTAGAGGATCTAGCGTTTCAGAAGTTAGACAAGAATTCGAAAACTATGAATGGCCAGAAGTTGTAACATCTTTGAGGAGTCAGATTTATACTATGATCTGGGATGGGGTATATGCTTTCCCTCTCGAAATGCTCTCATAGAGCCACATATATATAGCCTAGGCTAGAGGATTGTCATTGTCTTCTCCCGGTTGGGGTGTTGTTTTCCAAAGTGAGCGGTGAGAAGTAAACGTCCAGACTTTTACTTGGACTGGTACGAACGATCAGTCTAAGGGGTTGGGAGGTCGTGGTTACGAAACAGTTGTGCGTATGATCACATTGTTTATGAACCTATTTTGGTTATCAGCTATCAAGGGAATGAATCCCCTTGATATTGCGCCTCTGCCTGAGGATTAAACTTTAATCGACGGACCACGTGGTGACAGGCATCCTAGTCCACACAATGAATTTATTTTTCGCACAAACGATAATCACAAATGTTTCGTCATGTTCGTTTGTGATTCACATTTAGCTACCTAACACTTCATTATTCCCATTTTGTGTACGTTTTCCCAATTTCCCCTGAGGCTTATCGATTATGGAAGTTACGTCCTCTCTAAGTGATCTTAGGTCATCGACTGTGGGTCAGTTGCTATTGTTATATCCTAGAGGAGATTAAATTACAGTTAACTTCCGAGGACTATTAACGGACTAATATTCTTTAAATATTATTATTGTGTAATTATTCAATAATTAGATTATGTATATTTATATCCCTCTTATTATAAGCTTCATTTTGACCTATAATTCATTAATATACGATTTACTGTTCCTGGATTATGCTCAGTTTATTAACTGCTGCCTCCCACGTTCACAGCCACTTTATTGCGCACAAACGTGATTTCCTATCTTACCGTGCGTTGCGGTCTGTTTGTTTGATATATAAACACAGTATGTTTGGAATATATGATTCGCATATTGGAAGCTGGTATTGTTGTTCTGGACTCAAGTGGACGGGCTAGGCGGACATAGGACCAATAACAACGCTAGGCTGTTCATGCCGGTCGTACGTCATTGGTTTGGCACAGTGCTGAGATTGTACAAGTCGTATTTTGATTGGTGCATAAATCGCTTGGTAAAAAGCCGGACATACAGTCATAACAGCTATAAAAATCGATAACTACTATCATTATTATATTTCGTATTTGATAATATTCTCCTCGTTCTTTAATGTTTCCTCATATCGATAATTGTTTCTAACATCATTCCATTTAACCCCGCTATTACTTTTAATTATAGTAACACGAATGTTTTAATTATCTTACTCCTTTCAGATTAAAATCCATTGTTAACGTACAAGACTTTCTATTTGCATACACAATCTTAGTTTTTTTCTGTTTACATCATATAATCCAATATTATAACTTTTCTATTACATCATCATATGTATTCTTTGCTCATACGTCCTTAATCTTGAAAGTTTTTTTACACATATACGATTTTGCATGATAAATCTATTCACTGAACTTCGTGTTCTTTTAATTCATAAAATAATACTAACTGCATTATCGTTTCTATTTGTCTGACATCCATTGTGCGTTCAAAATTGTCTCTTATTTTAGTGGTGAAAATTCGACAATCTTATTAAGTCGGAAATCCGAAGAGTTAATGAAAAACGAAGACCAAAGAACACATATGTGGTGGTTCCTAGCAAAAGGAACTTATACAAGATATATCGATACACTAGGTTAATAATATACCAAGAGAGTTAACAGTAAAAACAATATGTGTCTGTCTGCGAGTAAAACCAAGGCTAACAAAATAGTTATGGGATGAATGTTACTTGTAAGCTGCCCCGTGGGTAACAACCACAAAGGAGTTCACTTGATTGACGAAGATTCCTCTGCAAGTGATTTGTACCAACGGCGTGATGAGAAAGACCGAGTCCAATAGTATTATATAATAATAATCCGTGCCAGTAGTCCGACGTAGTGTCGGAAGGCCTAAAAGGGTGTTATAACACTATTATAGTCTTCAATCGAAGACCGTGGCCAATAAAGCAGAAGAATAGACGGCGTAGGTAGCGCTTTTATATTTCGAGCAAGGTGGTAGTAAATTCGTATATATTTTATCGAAACAATTATCATCATTTTTAAACAAGTGATACAGAAAAACAACATATTGAATAAAAATGTGGTGACATATAAGGTGTGACAAATTAGAGAAAAAGTGCGGTTTTTATTTTGTCGTTACAAAAATCACTGAATATACCTCACCGTACATCTAAAGAACGAATAGCTACTGGGAAGGATTACCCAGGAAAGAGTTGGATAGAGAATGCTGCTGAGCGGCCTATGCTCCTCCACGAGTAACAGGTGTAAGCAAGTAAAACCAAAGCAGTGAATTATTATGTTCTAATATGAGGTTAGTTTTAACAGTAAGTTTTTATAGGCATCAATCAAATAAATGTTCTTTTTTATTCAAGTGTTTAAGAATGAAAAATATTTGTTAATATTACACAGTAATTATTGTTTCATAGATAATTTAAAGGATGATATGTGCACTGGTTCGCCAGATATTTCAATCAACTTTTTCAGTAAGTCAACTTTTTTCAATGTGGCAAGATCTGATTCTACCTCATATAATACAGCCAAATTTGAAATCATTACATCATGTAGACAAAAACGACGACATCGTGCATTGAACATGAATGATGTAGAAAATCCTGTAGTTAAAGCAGTTGTTGTAATAACGTCTAAATTGTTTATTGGTTGACTAGTTAGTCCAGTTGTTGTTAGATCCTCCAACACTTCAATTGATTCTGATAGTCGTCCAACATATAAAGAACAAATAGCTAAATTATTGGCCGCCTGAATTGTGGAATATGAATGGAATGAGGAATAACGTATAGCAAAAAACTGAACATAGACAACTTACAGTAAAGTGACTGTTAACTTCAATTTTCGATTAAATGAAAATGTCAATTTTATAAACTATTTATATATTCACCTAAGGTGATGAGACTCATTGAAAACAGCAATTTAGTAAAAGAAATGTATATCCATTTCTTTGAGGCTAAATGATTACTTAGATGCCATCGTACAACGTTAAAATCGGCCTATAGAAAATAATGATCAATAAAGTTATCGAACATTGTCAACTAGCAGGAACACATGCTGGGAAACTTCCTACATTCGATAGATCCATTTCGAACGCAGCTTTATTGATTGAAAGAAAGTGGCACAGTCAGTCCGGCAAATGCGATGTAAAACGTTGGATATATGTACATCGGTCCAAATATATGCTTCAGAATGAGTGAGTCTTCTGTTGAGCTTCTCTAATAGAGGCTGATTGCAATGTATTCTATTCGGGTCTACCGTTGAGTCGATTTTGGAGGTTGCCGTATCAGACGAATGAGTATATCGTGCTCATAGTTGGTGCTTGCTAGAAATAAACAATTGTCCGAGGATAGCTGCAGCAACCAGTCACCATTATATGTTTGGTTTACTCACTCAATCTTTCCTATTTTTTTTCCACGGAATTTCCTCCGATTAGCCCTTTTAGTTGACTACTTAGTTATCAATGTGCTTATACAGTTTCTAATTGTTGTTTTAGTGTTAATGACACTGAGGCTTATAGAAAAGGGAAACAACAAATATTTGTTACATAGTATTAAAGTTTACTCGTATACAGACATGTATACGCTATGATTTCTCTCCACCTATCTAACGGCTTTACGCTATTTTCATAGCCCAAATCACCTAGCAATCTTGGTATATCAAAGTTCGACGTAGGTTCTAACTTAACCAGTAGTGCTCGAGTAGAGAACTGTCTATTCGGTACGTTTGTCAGTGACAGACGTTGGCATAGAATATCACGATCTGCAGAGTAGAACTCCACCATTATATAAAGGAACATAACTGTAGTCGGACATCGAAAACTATATCTATGTGTCAAGAATCTGCTGAACGGTGAGTATTGTTTATAAATCGAGGCCTACGTCTGAAACTAGTCTAACTTTCTCACATTCGCTCTTCATAAGCTCTAGTTAGGTATCAAAGTATCGTTGTAAATAATATTATAGACATTAAATTAATCAAACCGGTTTCGCTGTAATTGTCACAAAAGGATTTTTCCTTTCTTTAAAATTGGGACGATCAGCAATCGAAACCTGTCAGATGAGATTACACACAATTCACAGATTTTAGCTAGGGGCTCAGATCATTTAACTGCTAAGACTGGACCACCATCTCTAAATATCTCACGCTAGTCTATCGGGCTTCCGCTTGTTATAGATTGCTTATTGTTTCATTAAGAGTTAGAGGACTTGCATCAATTTGTCAGTAAGATCGTTAGGATATAGTGAATAACTGAAATGCGGTTGAAGGCCAATTAAAGTGTTATGCCCATCGGTCCAGCCTCCTAAACTAAGAGTGAGTAGTAGTACCATCATTTTCAGAGATAGTTTCGCTATCGAAATCTGCATCTCTGTGCTATTAGGGTACGACAACTAGAACTGATGTACGTACGTACGAAGTTCTACGTTGTTGCTGACTGAAGACGTGGACAATGCATGCTCCAGAATGGGTGGCAGTCCTATATCGAGCCTCTTCAACGATGGCTAACGGCAACGTGGGCAATTTAAGTCCACTGTTGAATCAATTATATGGGTCGCAAATTCAGATGATACCTTTCCTTATAATTGAAGTTTGTGCTTTCCGAAAAGACGGTTATCTGAGCACAATGACAGCAGGCAGTCATCATTATCAGTGTACTGAGACGCGGCATCGTAAGATCCGCTCCAAGTGCTTTTCAGTTTGCTTTAGTTTACATATTTGGGTGCAAAATCACCCACCACTATCACCATAGATTTTTGAAGAAGTCTAGAAAACTTCCCATAAAATTCGTCTTTTATTTCATCCGAGCTGTGATTAGTGGGGTCGTAGGCAGAGATGACGAGGAAAGTGTGATATCTTCTTATCTTTCAGAGTTCTGACTATCCTGTTCAGTCGGACAGACCACCAGTCTAGTAGAGCTTGTTCTACTTTTCAACTTGATGCTATACTTACACCAGTAAAATCATAGGAAGTAGCAATGGAGTTGCAGCGTACATCGATTGCGCATGGTTCAGGAGTCCTAGTCAAGGAAGGTTGTTGTGCTGTCTAACACAGGGTCCGAACATCAAGAGCTCCAACATGGGATCTAGAGACCGGTTTCCAGAAACCAGGATCAACATTTTGTTAACTCAAATCATTAGCATTGGCGGCACGTAGTCATGAAGATGTGTGAGAAGGGTTATAGTTAAGGGTATAACAGCTCACGTGCGATTGAGTTCGTTCACATTTAATTTGGTTAAACCCTTTTATTAACTTATTTAACGGACAGAGTCATCAATACTATAACAACTTATATCATTGTACCTTTATTATTGTTGCACTTGTATGAATATGTATGCCTGAGCATTGTTTAATGCCTACACATATACATTCATTCTGCTAGCCTTACTATTAGTCGCTTAATTGATTCGATGATTCATTCATTTCACTATATATATATATATATACATATATATATATATATATATATATATATATATATATATATATATATATATATATATATATATATATATATATATATATATATATATATATATGTACATTTTTATCATGTTCATTGACTCGCTGTAGATACTGTCTGTTCTGGAGGAACAAATAAATTCTACCATACCCTTATGGAGTCGGTAGTACAGCTTCTTCCACACACCTGAGTTTTCTGCTTTTAGTCTTACCGTTCTCCAAACAGCCTGTCTGGAAAAGTAGGAGCTGCGGTCATGGAAAGACCATACTGTCTATTATAGGTCTAGTCACATGAGTTTTCGTTTTAATAATTTGCATAAGAGTGCCATTTTTACTATAAATGTTCTATACAGCAGAGTAGTGAAATTTGATCGTCATAAACAATCACGGAATCAGTTTCGTACGATGACAGTGTTCTGTTGATGCTAATTTAAAACACAATGGTCCAGAAAACATCACAAGTCTTTAGACATCAGATACGTGGTTTTAGCCACAGGTCACAGGTCTTCCCTAAGAAATGTTTATCTTTATTGCAGATTTATACTTTCACACAGTACGAAATTGACAATTAATAACACAGAAGTCTGATTTACCGTGTTTTCCATAAAAGTGAAAACACACTTACTGCCACAGTACAGCGGCACTCACCCATGAGATTTGAAAAACTGCGGAGAGTGAAGTTTGAATGTGTCCTAGTTTCTGCTGATGCGGAAGCTAGATGCATGCCAATCAATTTACTGAGTTCCGAAATGTGAACCGCAGTGTTCAGTAGCTGATATGAAAGTATCATAGACTAGAGAGCTCTGTCTTCGATGCCGCGATGTCTCGTTGCTGTGTACTTCAGAAGACTCCCAAGTTTGTCATAAAAACTTTATATTTATCAACGTAGAAGATCGCACATATTACCTAGGATACCAAATCACTGATTTATTGTCTTTAATTGGTCTCTCAGGACAATAACATCCTTTAGATGCGTAGGTAAATATGAAAACAGTAAAAATTGTTTTGGATGATGAATTAGCTTAGTTTTTATTAATTGGCAAAATGATATATTTCGTCGGAGGAATTTCAGTCACATGACTTTAGACACACTTTTCCAAGAACACTCTATGAGACTATAATTTACGGACGAACCAATAAGATTTGGGATAACAGGTCTTGGATTTTGGCGCACGATTCGTCCATCTATTTGGCTAAATAGAGTTTTGGTATTTCAGTTTATGTCGGTTCGTGATGAAAACTCGGAATCTAATTGCTCACATTGGTTTATAACCGTCATTTAGTTCTAGTTAATAGGTGGACATCCTCAAGGTCACTTTGGCGTCGCTCAAAGGTCATCCATAAATTATAGTCTCAACGAACACTCAAACAAGAGAATTATTTAACCGTGTCTACATGATTTATTCTAGTTTATCCATGCCAAAGCTTTAATTTTTGAAGTCATGGGTACTACGTTTGAGCCTCAGTAAGGATAACAACAACTTACTATGGTTTAACGTAAATTCTGCTGGAGAGTCCCAAACAAGAAGAAACACGCGTTATGGGTTTTACTATGACACAAGTATCAAATGAAAAAGATAAAAATAAATGAAAATAGGCGCTCACTGCCACATTTGTAGGATCTAATTGTAGAACAGTTTTAAAGGACTTTCTCGCTTCTTCATATTCCCCTTTACCAATCGATAACAACGCGCTAAAAAATAAATATATACCACTATTGTATGGCTATTTAACGAAGAGAAATATAAACTTTACAGCAATTACCTAAAGTACAAATTAACATCGCCTGGAGCCCCTCAAGGGTTATTCATGATTCAAAGTCTGAATAAATGAAAAGTGATGGATGTTAAGTTAGAAATCTCACTTGGTAAACCAGAATCCCACTATAGGGAAGCTAATCAGAAAAATATGTAAGCCAATTAAACTTAACCCTGAAGAGTATTCACATAGAAGAATTATGACGTCTTAGGGTAAAAGCTGAGACTCTTCGGAAACTAATGGACCGACGGCTTTTTTAATAACCAGGTCAACAATAAACATACAGATAAAAATATAATAACAGTGTGGAAGACCGTAATGATCACCCAAACAGTGACGGAAATCATGAAATAGAAATTGACTCTCCTTAGAATAAGTGAAACCTATTGGGCATAATCTGTACAGAGATAAGTGCCGTGATGAGAGATGAAGCTGTATTATAGTAAAGAAGAAAAAACGTGCTACACATATAGCTGGTTGTACTAATAATCTCCAAAGAAGCACAAAAAGTGAGGATAGAATAAGAAATCCTAGGAACCTGGATTATCGATGCCTGTCATGAAACAAAACGAGAAAAAAATAATGAATTTCGTGCAACGTTACGCTTCCACTGATGATAGCAAAGATAGTAAACATTAGTTTTATGAGCCTTAAGTTACTCGTACAGAAAACGGCTGAGGATAAACTTCACAATCTTGGTAGAGGACTGAAAAGTTGAGATCTGGATGGACAATACTGAGTGATAATGAATTAAGAAATGATACAGACTGGTATAAATATTAGAATAACAAAGAACCATCAAACCAATAGACTTTCAAATACAAAACTATAACAAGATTTTGCAACGCACGCTTAAATTGTAAATTTTTATCTGGATATGCATACTTTATATTCTAAATCATTTACTACGTTAAGTTTGACACGCATGTTGTCGTAAAAAGTAGCGAATAGGAAAGTTCAAACTTTTCATGTAATGGGTCATAAACAGTACTGTTGTATAATTAGGTTAGCCGAATCGTTATTTCATTTAATCAGTCTAGTGTTATCCAATTAACTGTGGTTCTAATTGGTAGATACATGTGCATGTTCATGAATTTTATAAAAATGCTTAATTGTATTTCCTTTTACAACCCGCATATCGAATGTTTACAACTGTGTAGTTTCAACAGAAGTCCTAGAGGATTTTTAACGTGAACTGAGGCAGATCCTTTGGGAAGATTGACCTAGCTGATACATATCTATAGATTGAGGGAGGTGAATCATCTTGAAAATCAAATACAATTAATGCACATTGAGGTCTATGTCATTATGCTCGCCTTCCATTTGAAGTAAAGTGAGACCACGGCACGTTTCAGCGAATTGTGGATGTAATGCATACAGATATATCAGGTATCTTAGCTTACGAGAATGATATTATAATTTTTGGTACAATCGCAGAAGAATTATTTAACCGACTGGATATGGTACTCTTACATATTAAAGATTATGGTTCTAAACTAAAACAAGATAAACGTAACTTTCCTACCAATCAATCGTAACGAAAAATGATGTGATCCGGAGAATATTAAATCTGTAAAGCAAAGAACATCATCATTCGGCCTTAACTCGCTACAACCATTCATGGGATCAGTTAATCACTATGCATCGCTTAATAAAGTCTTGAGCGAAGAGACGAAATGGAACTGATTTCCTTAGTGTCAAAACATCATTAAATATATTAAGGACGTTCTGCCATTAAATATGCTTCTAATATACTTTAGCCCTAACTTCGAAATAATTGTTGCCTCAAATGCATCGAACTGGGGACTCAGAGCTGGTATTTTTCACATCTCCCAGGATGTCTACCCGAAGGATATTGATTATGCATCCGAGAAAAACAGCTAAATAGGATAAATAAATACTAATAATCTTTTTTTTAGTCGAAAAGTTTTGTATTATCTATGGGTGACATTTCATAAACCTGTTCTATCAATCTGGTTCACACAATGCATTCCAGTGGTAGACTACATTTCTTCTTAGTAGTAATTTTACTATAAAATATACGTCAACGATCAGTCTTGGACAGACTGATGGATTATCAAAACTAATAGACCCGTCGATAAAAGTTGTGTTGTTGCTGCAATATTAGTTGAAACAGAAGTAAACCGAGTTGTATCACATTTGACCTGTGTCTTGCTAGTAACGGTGAATATGCTCGAGGATGCTACACTGGCAGATTGTGAACTATAGCAGGTGCGTTAAGTGCACGATGGTCGAGTAAACAAAGTCAACAATGATTTATTAGTGAATTTTCGACGGCGTGATGCATTACCTATTACCAATTCATGCTTGCTGTTTGGAGGGCGTCTAGCTGTCCAGACCACCCTCAGATGGCAAGTATTAAAGCAACTCCACCAATGTCATCCTGGCTTGGGACACATGAATATGCTATCACTCAGCTATGTATACTCGCCGGTGATAGATAGGGGCATTGAGAATGTAGTAAACAAGTGTCTGCAATATGTTCAAGCAGTGTGCAAGGAAGAAATAAATGGACACGATAAGGCTTCATTGATAAATATCAGAAAATTTACTTATGAAAATTCTGTAGAATCAGTAATTGAAGTTTATAGTCCAATGGAAATTCTGCATTAGGTAACGATCTGTCGAAAAGTGTTTTAGCCGTTTGCAAATCCCCAAACTAATAAAACATGAAGAAAACAAGGAGTAAAAATGGAAGAACATTGTATGAGAACCAATTAATTACTTATATGTGTGATCATTTGTAAATAACGATGAACATTTTCTGAACAAAAAACATTTCTTTGTATTACTTAATATGAATTCGTTTAGTTAATCTTTAAAGTACTGTCCATCAGTGAAGACTGGATCTATTATCACCTAAGTGAGACAAGTTTACATCATTATGGATTAATGTTTTTAAAACGTGAATTAGTAATTGATAAAAGATGTGGTTTTTGTTTACTTGTTTTAGCTCATGAACATGGGATAGTGATGTATGTTACACAGGTGGAATATGAGAAACATTCAGACAACTGAAAATGTCATGCTAATCACAATAAAAGAGTAACCGATTAGTGACAACATACTATATACAACAATAGTAAATATGAAGAGAATTCTTTATTATCCTTATGGGTAATGGAAGATGCTGATAAAAAGTGTGTGATTCGCCTTAGCAAGTTACCATAGCTGAATCGCTCAGTATAGAAGGTAAATTATTTCACAAACAAGTATAATAACACAAGGGCATAAGTGAACAAGTTAACCAACATATATTAGAAGAAATGGTTGAAACTGTATCTATTCAATGGCTGATCTTCAAAAAGTAAGTTTAAACTATTCATGTGACAGACACCACATAGTACTGGATTCTGTAATACTTGGAACGTATTTATGATAGTTGAAACATCTGTTCTTTGTTTTTGTTTTGAACAAATGCCAGTTAAATGTATCTTTGTTCTGAGTATCTGAGCCCCACTTCCGTCAACCCAGATATAGAAGAAACAATTTAATAAAAAAGTTTTACTTAACTGGAATAAATAGGGGGTTTTCGACAACTGGGTTATTTCATGGCGCTTATCATTTTAAGGTTGCAGATCTCCTCATAGAGCTAAGAGCCCTTTTATTTTCTACTAACGTATTTATCACCAATCTTCATTTAGCATGTCATGTTGGCGGGACATTCCAAGGGTTATGAAAATCTGAAAGCTGGAGACAATTTAACAACAAGCGTTTTGTGATAAGAATGTCAAAAGGTTGTAGTATGCCTCAATCAAAATAAGTCAGTAATAAATGAGGTTTCTCAATCTTTTATTCGAGAATATTCGGAACATTCCAATCAATTTCAAAAACAACTACTCTATTTGCCCATTTTTGAATGAGATTATAGCTAAAGCTGCTTAACCCTCAGTACAACAGTCCTAATGGTAGGCAGAGTCGATACTGCAAATGCCCTCCTTATTAAAAAAAACACCTACCTGCAAATGAACACGACCAAGTAAACTACAGAATCCTCTAAGCACAACCTGATTATCACTGCATAGATGTGTTAATTGACGTACTATATTTAGTGCTGATTGATAATCTAACTTATGTAGAAATATTGATAAACAGCTGGAAAGCACCCGAATTTTACGAGCAGTCCATAAATTTAATGAGGCTAGATACAAAAGGAAACAATCATATTCTGAGATAAAGTTCGACAATTACTCATTAATAATACACAAGTGACAACAGGAGCCCTAATTAGAAATTTACAAGTTAAACTGCTGATCAATGAGGTAGAAGTTTACCTAAGTCAGATTATTCTGTCACGTAGTTTGATTCAGACTGTATTTCCAAGTAAAATATCGTTGAGTAGTTAGGCTAGAGTTAAAAATCATCCTCACTGTATGACTAGAGCCCATTTATGATATCTTACATTTGTTGTTTAATTTAATCTCTCTATGATTCGAATGGTAAGGTCATTCATAATAACAGTAACTATTGAACAACGAAAAATAAGGATAATGTTTGAAAATATGGACTACTGAAATCTAACTCATTAAGTGAGTAACGTAGTGTTCACTGCAAAACTTGGAGTTCCTGAGTTCAAGGCCATGTGCACTCGTTAGTGCTCACCATTGAGGAGTTTGAAGCTCGGATGAAAGATTTTTTATCCCATTGTTTCTCGCTGATTCTCCAGTTAATGTGTCAGTCCGTTACAAAAACTGGCTTCAAGATTGCACATAAATCAATAGGATAATTACCACACTCTTGAATATTTTGGATCCATTAAGAACTGTTTTAGAATAATGTGACAGGTGACTACAAATCACAAACAATATATAGTATCATAGCTGAGTATATATATACAGTTCATTGTAGTATAAAATATTCATACCTTGTCGGTAAACAAGATCTGGTTCACTTATCGAACCATCTTCTCTAAAGCCTTTCTCTAAATTACTTTGAATCTAGAGTTAAAAAAAAGAAACTGAACTGAAAATTAATTTCTAAAAAAATATGACAAATAATGGGGTAAATCGCACAAAACTACACTAATTATACTGCATAATTTCCTAATACGTCGCACCAATAACTCAACAACTTAACAGGTTTTAGCTTCACAACTGGGTCTAGCTTTTCTCCTAATTATTCAGGATCCTAATGCTTGAAAGTGTCTAGACTGATTAAACCCCACAGATTTTAAATTAATGGATAATAAAAACTGTTCGTGAAAGAAGAAGAGACGAAACAAACAGTTTTTAATAGTAGCGATCTTAGATAGGGGATTCCAAGATCATAAGCTGATCATATTATAAGTATTCAACTTTTAAAAAAACCTGTTACACACTTAATTTAGTTCTAACAGAAAGGTTGTATTCTCAAACGTCACACATGCATGATTCTAAAGTGAGTACATAAACACAAGTTGGATGAGGACAGAATACCATTATAGAAATTCTCAGAAGGGTGACGTAATGAACAACACTATAACAATTTTCAGTCAAGTGAACGTGGATTATCCATAAAATGAAGATATGGTTAAGATGGATAGTGGCTAGCAGTCGAATCCGGGACTCGGGTTTTGTCCTATTTGGAACCTGGTAGCTGGGACTTGAACCCAGTACCGTTCGCCTAAGTGGATAACGCGATGGTGTTTAAAGCGAACGGTGCTAGGTTTGAGTCCCAGAGTGAACATCAACTCTGAAATGCAAGTACATCCAGCTGACGAGTCCTGAATATGACGAAACGCGAGTCCTGCATTCCACTGCTAGTCACTAACCATCTTTGCTTGGAATATTTGTGAATTAAGACAATATCGAGGCAATACACACAGTATGCATATATGCCAATAAGAGATTGGTCAATTGCACTCTTAAACATCAATGGGAAGACTCGGGTAAACAATACCAAGTGAATTTGAGGATGTGGTTGTAATATATTTAGCCAGCAAGGTTCAACAGAGTGGACTTTTGGTGAACTTATACTCTTCCTTCAGTAAAATCATTTCTCGCTAACCAAGATTCTAAACCGTGTCAAAAACTAAATGCCGACTAAGTGTACAACTTTTTAATAAAAAGACTTAGCTATTCAAACTAAACCGGTAGCGATTCAAATACATACTTGACGGTTTGAGAAAATGAATTACTTAAGTGATTAATACCAATAAGTTTACACACATACATTTAAACAGTATAAACCTTTTTATGATTTGCAGATTGCTCCAGCTAGATCACAAATGACTTTTAACAATGGGTGGGTAGTTTGACTGTTTGTGGACAAATTTAGTGGTCACATTCTCGGAAATAATCAACAAATCATGTAATAAACAGGGTTGCAAGATCTATATCAAAATTTTTGATAGTTTAGCCAATGAGAGCATTTTCATATTATGACTCGGACAACTAGACTCTTTGAGATGATTTCCGGCGAGTATTCTGTAATCAGTCATCGTTATCTTCGAAGGACTACATATATACGATTTCACTACTGTGTAAGTAATGCCGAGATCCAGTAACATTTATAGTATACCATATATAATTTCTCAAATAATTATAATCTTGAAACATTTGGCCGCCTAGATACGTTTCATGCATGTTTCCCCCTCCAAATGTTATTCAAATAACACATTATTTTCCTGACACTAAGAAGCTGAGACAGTCAGTTTACGATGGAGAACCGCAGGAAGAAAGGTTGATGTGCTGGGCCGATACCTATAGATTTATCGTGAATACATAGGCAAGGTCTTAGATACCGTGCAACTCAGTGACTTGAGGTGTCATCAAATATGACTTAAAATGAACCTGACGAGTTTCCTGAAGGTTTCTGCTAGTTTTATTACAAACAGTAAGACTTGTAAATAAATGAAATCTACCTTGGTTTTGTTCTTTATCGAATTCGATTATTCGGTATATCTTATTTACGTTTTTGAATTGTATCTCCCTAATTCGTCATGATATTGTAAGTTCCTTTGACGTGGTGTATTTATGACACAGTAAGTGTATACACACGTATGTGTACTTATTCATCTAATGTATGAGGAATGTAGAGATACTACACGGTGACATAAAAGTAAATACGGTTGTTGTTACTAGACTTTAAGTCGAAACATAGTTAAGGGGTCAACAATAAAGGCTAAAATAACCAATTGCAAATAAACGTACTCGACCAATAATAGCTAGTAAGTAATATAGACGATCTAATGCTTCATTTGTACGATTTAAATGAAATGGTAATTCAGCATGAAGTAGTCTTAAAGAAAATGGAATGATAGAACCTAAGAGGAGAGGAAAACAAAAATGATCAAAAGTGCAGTCTTAAATAAAAAGTACAGGAGCACAAGTGATATAGATTCACTTCAACAGCACTAGTCTTTGCGTTCAAGCGAAGGATAACGATCTACGAACTTTGTTCACAATCTCGTCTAGAACGTGAGTAGTACAATATTTTCGAAACATTTCCGCAAATTGACATTTAGTAATATTTTGTATTTAATTAATATTGTGTGAGTTAGAATTAGAGTTAATTAAGTGATTACAATTTACTCATGACTGAGCAAACAATCAAGAACGTACCACGAGAATAACTCAAACTCATATGGTAAAACATGAAGATGACTGGAATTATTAGGATTACAACTGATGATTCATCAACCAGACTACTAAAACCAAACCAAATTATTCAAGTACCAAACGTAGAATCGCTCATGCTCAACAGCGATTTCATGTTAGTAACACTAAGGTTGAGTAAGGTGTTTTTGACTAGACCCAAAGACATCATTGAACGTACAGGGTCTAAATAAAACAATAGTTCCGAAAGAGTGAGCAAAATTTATAAATACTACTTTAACACCATTGATAGTGGATATAGTCTGTTGATACATCAACGAACTAAAAAGACTGAGATTATCTCATAATGTGGTACAGTATGCTGAAATACAATTATTTTAGATAAGCACCAAATGATAACAATTTTAACCTACGGATGAGTTGAGTAATCATGCCAGTTACTTACCAGTTATGAATTGAATAGGGAGCGGTAACCTATTTGTTACAGCACTTAGATTTCAGTTAACAAACTAGAGGTTCAAACTTCACCCCAGCTACCCCACTGGACAGTTGGATAGTGTTATGTAGAAACTGTGACAGAAAAACCCTTTACGTGAATATGTGCCCCGTTAATGAGCTACATTAATTGCCATTGTGCAGATTTGAAACCGATAAAAAATTCATTCCTACCGAATTTAAACAGTAAAATAATATAAAACGAAAAACAACGCAAATGTAGCATACACATATATATTGAAATGATGGAGATTCGCAGTTCAGGTCAGTGGTTTTGGTGGAGTTGTGTTCTCTGAGCTTATTGTTAACAAGATCTTTAGTGTCCACTTAATGTAGAGGTGAGCTAGTCCGAAAATTTCATATCAGCTTAACTCCGCATATATTACAGAGAAGTAAACAGTTTTAAAAAAGACTGAAGAGAAAGAACATCTTCATCGTACCAGGAGACAAACGATGGACAACAGTATTTATGAGTGAAGAAAATTACATTCAGAAAGCTAAGGATCTAATCAAAGATAACAATGCATACGAAACACTAGTGAAAAATTCTATTAAAGAATAGACAGTTTAATGAATAAAACTCTAAGAGAACTCGTCAAAGGTGGATAAACTACAAACCAAGACCAGTGACGAGGAAAATATGATGGACTTATTTTCCTTGATTTTACAGAAGACCGAAGTTGCACAAACCCAATGTACCATTTTAACCACCTATGTCAACACCAGAGACACCAACCTACCATTTGCTAAAAAAACTCTACACGGTAGTAGAACATCTGACTGGATTGTACAATCATTCGGTCAACTACCCAACACAGTTCTGAAACAAGATCAAAAATTTACAACTAATCAGTGACGAATTAACAATGACCTTAGATTTTGCGGTTCATTTCACTTTAGTAAGAGCGAAGCTCATTACAAATACAATATCAGGACGTCTTAGCAACGACGAACAACTCATACAACACAAAAATATAGTGCTCAAAATTAACAGAATTTAGAGATCTGTTTCTTGAACGTACTTCCAATTCAGTAGTAAAACTTACTGACAAGTAAAAAAGACTACCATGAGGTACCCTATAACAGGACCAATCACAGAAGCTGTAATGAAAAGATTTGAAGCTACAACTTTGTCAATGATCAAGCCAAAGATTTGAATACGTTATGCAGACAACAAATTTGTTAACTTCAAAAGTAACAAACTTAAGAATACTCATAAGTTAACCGACAACACTCTCACACGGCCACGCGTATATAGCCTCCTCAAGGGAAGTCCTACTCATTGCCTTCTCGTGGCGAGGGTGTTGTTTACGGAAATGAGAGGATGAAAAGCGAATGTCCGGCGCTTTAACCGGATCCCAAACCAATGATGCACATGTGCTCCAGTATCCTGCGGGAACAAATGGCGTATGAACCAATCGTTGGTCACCGGCTACCATGAGACTGCACCTCGTTACGATGCTCCACTGCCTTGTGGATCAGACCTTCAGGTCGAAGGCTCGGGGTGTGGCCTCCTAAGAAAACCACCTGCTTCGGTTTGGGCACCCGGGCAGCCCTCACACATATCGAATGAGATTTATGTGGCGCATATGTATTTGGTGCCTATTTGTACCAATATCTATGTGTTGAAATAAATAATAAATAAATAATAATAAACCGACAACATATTCGATGTTACAATTACAAAGGATATGGGAAACAAAATATTATTCCTGGACGTTCTAATCAACAGAGAAAAACAAGTATGCAGGGAATCAAGTCATACAGTTCGAAAATTAAGCTACAACAGTAACAATCTGGCAGCACGCTAACAGTTGTGTCCAGACACTGACCAAAAGAGTCTAAGCCAACTGCAGCACTCTCACCACATGAAAAATTTAGGAAAAGCATCTGTTAGTCTTCCATAAGAATGGCATTCCCGAAAACTTTATTAAAAAGTGCCTAATGAATAGATATATCGTTAAGTAACCAATCCCGGAAACCGAGAAACAAGTTGTGCCACCGTATGTGAAAGATATCTCTGAAACTGCCATAGGGATTCTGGAGTCCTTTGAGATCGATGCCATTCAGAAACTAACACAACCACTCCATTCCACACCATAGACACCAAAAGACACAACAGTAAAAGAAGGAAAACTCAATACCTTCTACAATATAAGTTATACTGTGAAGAATATATTTTAAAAAGTGGACGCCCCTTCACCTACCCATAAATAAACAGTAAGGTGATACGATATATTATTGATAATATCAGTGCATGCAAATGATTATGTATATAGAGACTATTAGAGAAACGAAGAAATCAATCACAAGGCCAGAGATTAACGGCTAAGATAGTCAAACAGAAACCCTATTGCAAGTGAAAACAGAAAAATCAACCAAGACAGCCAATCACAAACAAAGCCATCAGGACGAGCTGACATAGCACCTGTGAAGCAACTTCTACATGAAATAGGTGTTTACGATGTCAAGAATGGAATCGAAAGCTCTGCAACTAAACTATTTAGGTCAACGAACACAACACCCCTATATATATATATATATATATATATATATATATATATATATATATATATATATATATATATATATATATATATATATATACTTCAGTACCTGTCCGTCCAGGATATCTTTGGGGAGAATATTCAAAATAGAAATTCGGTGCTTCCATGTTATGAAAAGTAGCAAATTCATGTTCAGCCAATTTATAATTCTGCGTACGAACTAATAAGGCCAATCGACACAACCAAATCTAAAACAAGCAATCAACAAGAACAGTAGTAATTGATTATTATTTTCATAACATTAATACATAAAGAAAAATATGCAATCTTGTAGTTCGAAAATTCCCAAGTCATATGTCGTTATTTATTTATAACACATTGACTTGTTAAACAACTATCAGTCGTTCAGCTGAACCAAGTCACCAGCCTCAGAGTCAGTAGACAGCGCATAGTATGGCAGTAATTGGAACAAAATGAGTGACACGCGCTCAGGTCATCACCGTAAGCATTTAAAAACGAATTATTCAGACGAATGATGGACTAAATTGAGTTCAAAAATATGTCATTCAATGCAGCCTCGGGGATGCCCTCCCCGAGGCTGCAGGAACAACAGTGACATCTGCTATTAAGGTCAACCACAAGGTTAGGGAGCAACACTGGATCTCAGCAGCACCTACCGCATTGACAGATGCTCGAAAACTCATGCCATCTGGGTCTGAACATAACGAAGAGCGGAATCCGCTTAAGCGCAAGCTGACAAGAAGCCTACGCAATGATCGTGAGCAGTGGTGGGTAGCGAAAGCAAGAGAGATGGAAAAGGCAGTGGCAAAAGTTAACAGCAGACAACTGTCCAGATTTGAAAAGGAAATCGGTATTATGAATCCAACTGCTAGTGAAACTATCTCCGAAAACGATGGACATATTATTCACTCTCAATCCATGAGATTGGATCGATGGGCAGAACACTTTAGGGATCAGTTCAATTGGCCTTCAGCCACACTTCGGTTTCCCATGATCTCCAGTCAACCTGAATGGCAAGTTAATTTAGGTCCTCCGTCTCTTTACGAAGTTGAAAAAGCTATAGGAAATCTGAAGCGAGGGAGAGCAGCAGGCTCTGACAGATTTACTCTTGAGATTTTTAAGGATGGTGGTCCAGTATTAGCAGTGAGGTTAACTGAGGTCATAGGTAGAATTTGGGAACTGGACGTAATCCCATCTGACTGCTCTCAATCTCTGATTGTGCCAGTTTATAAGAAAGGACAAAAGTCCTCTTGTGACAATCATAGAGGAATCAGTTGGACTAATATAGTATCGGAAATATTAGCTTCAATAATACATCGACGCCTAAATAAAGCTTGTGAAGAGCAGATTAGAGAAAACCAGGCTGGTTGCGACTTGGACGTGGTTGTATAGACCAAATATTCACACTACGTCAGGTAGTAGAACATAGACACACATTCATACGTCCCACAATAGTAGTATTTCTCGACCTTAAGACAGAATTTAACTTTGTTGATCGTGAAGTTCTATGGCAGTGTTTGTCACTGAAAGGAGTACCAAAGGAGTACATTAACCTTGTAAAAGCCCTATACTCGAACAAAACAGGTCGAGTGAGAGCTTATGGCGAACTGTCATCAGAATTGATTACCTCAACTGATGTTCGTCAGGATTTTCTATTCTCTACATTCTTGTTTAACTTTATCGTTGACGTACTTTTAGAGATAACACTTTCCTCATCTAAATTTCCAAGGGTTGAACTTTTACCGGGAGATTCACTTGTTGACTTAGAATATGCCGATCACATAGTTCTGTTTGGTGAAGACGCTGACAAAATGCAGAGTCTTCTGACCACTCTAAGCAACAATGCAAGCATGTTCGGGATGTGATTCTCGCCCTCGAAATGTAAAATGTTGATTCAGGATTGGGTTGCATCGACACCCGAACTAATGATAGGGAGTGAAGTAGTTGAGCGTGTCGACCGCTTCACTTATCTTGGAAGTCTCATCAGCCCTTGTGGTCTGGTGTGTGACGAAATCTCAGCACGGACACAGAGGGTTCAATTAGCTTCTGCCAACTTGCGTCATTTATGGCGTAGGCGAGATATCCGTCTATCAACCAAAGGATGGGTTTACTGCGCAGCAGTTCGTTCCGTCCTCAGTCAGTCAGCTACAACGTAGAACCAGGCACATATGTGCATCGGTCCAGGTTGCCATACCGCATCAGCACAACAAGATGAACACCGGATTCATAACAGTGGTTAGGTAAAAGGTGGTAATATATAAGAGAAAGATTGCATATAGAGATATAGTACAAGAAGAAAGAATTGGTTAGTAGAAAGAAAGATATGAAGCGCTTTTAATCTCTTAGTTTAAGGGAAGACAGGGAGTGTATACACCGACGGCATTGTGATCGATTCTGAGCCATGTCACCAAGAGTCTCCAACCATTGGTTACGATAGTCACGCGGACCCCAACCAAGTAGTCTGCATCTACCAACATGGCTCAGACTAGAAGTTAGTGACTTCAAGCACTGATGCCACGTTTTGGTTTGGCCGCCCCTAACTTTCTTCCAACCATTTCCAATACCGGATAGCATTGCACGTCGTGGTAATCGGTGTTCAGGCATACGTAACACGTGGCCCAACCATCTCAATCGATGAAGATTCATAACCTCATCAACTGATTTACCATCCTTCCCTAATACCCTGCGTCTAACCTCACTATTACTTACCCGATTATCCCAGCAGACGCCAGCAATATTTCTAAGGCATCTGTGGTCAAATACTAGTAGCTTACGAGTGTCTTCTACTCTTAATGGTCATGTTTCGCTACCGTAAAGTAAAACAGAACGGACTGCCGCGCAGTATACTCGTCCTTTTATTGATAGACGGATATCTCGCCTTCGCCACAGGTGACGTAAGTTGGCAAAAGCCAAACGAGCTTTTCGAATCCGTGCTGAGATTTCGTCCGATATCAACCCATTAGGGCTGATCAGACTTCCAAGATAAGTGAAGTTGTCAACGCGTTCGACTACTTCACTCCCTATCATTAGTTCAGGTGTTAACGCAGACCAGTCCTGAAGCAACAATTTGCATTTCGAGGGAGAGAAGCGCATTCCAAACATCTTGGCATTGTTGCTCAGTGCTACCAGAAAACTCTGCATTTTGTCAGCGTCTTCACCAAACAGGACTATATCATCTGCGTATTCTAAGTCGATAAGTGGACCTCCTGGATGGAGATCAATACCCGAGAACTCAGTCGACGAGAAAGTTATTTCCATCAGTAGGTCTATGATGAAGTTAAACAAAAATGGGGAAAGTGGACAACCTTGACGGACACCACTTGAGGTTGCAAAAGTACCTAGCCTGTCGTATGCCTTGATGGTGTTCTCGTAACTTTCGGGTTGCCTGATCTGCCAAGGGCGATGGGACAGTGCATGATGCTATTGTTGTGTGCCAGGTTCAAAGAGAATTGTATGCTATATGCATGCAAATCCGCCCCGTTATTGTTCTTATTTCCCGACCGTTGTTGCTACCTTGACGTGGTGGTCGGGCTTGCCTATCGTGATGAAGCAACCGAGCTATACTGGCTGGAACAACCGTTCCTCAAGGTCCTAACATGTCAGACAGGTCGGTTGAAGAGCGGTAAGACTAAAAGCAACAAACCGAAGGTCCGAAGGCGAAGTCGTACTGCTGACTGTACAGAGGTGTGACAGCAGTAAGGTGTTTCCTTCAGACAACCAGCATGACAGCGATGCTGCCTTCCCACAAGGAGGGGTGGAGTTAGAAAAGGTCGACCCTAAAAATGAACACCTCACCTTACCTCACGGATTTCCGTCTCCGGCGGTAAGGCCCTTTGAAGAACGGAGCTAACATGTCAAAAACCTTCCACGAAAAGGACGTGCGCGACCGGCCTCAAGCAGTTGTCCCTTGGGCACTGTGGTCACGCTCTCAGGTCGCTGAGACCACCTCTAATTCAATTTCCTTTTCAGGCACCTCCAGAAGAACCCTTCCACGGTGTGGGCAACCGGGAAGTGATAACCGCCCTCATACCTCTAACAGCACTCAAGACCACTGTATTCATAATCGTTCCGTCCTACTTTATGGCAGTGAAACATGGCCGGTAAGAGTAGAGGATATTCGTAGGTTTGATCATAGGTGTCTTCGAAACATTGCTCGTATATCTTGGGACCATTGAGTGAGTAACGCAGTTGTTAGGAAACGCGTACTAGGTAAGGATGGCAAACTAATTGATGAAGTAGTGAAACTTCATCAGTGGAGATGGCTGGGACACGTGTTACGTATTCCCAACTACCGACTGCCTCGACGTGCGATGTTCAGTGGTATAGGAGTAGGTTGGAAGAAAGCTAGGGGCGGCCAGACCAAAACATGGCACAAGTCCATGAAGTCACTGACAAGTGGTCTGAGTCATGTTGATAGGTGTAGACTACCTGGTTGGGGACCGCGAGATGATAGCAACCGGTGGTTAGAGAACCTAAATGACATGGCTGAAAATCGTTTGCAATGGCGCAGGTGCATCCACTCTGTGTTCGCCCAAATTCTAATCTTCTGGATTCTTCATACCCCTTTCTTTCTTCTCTTCCCAAATTTATTTCACTGGATTATACTCCTTGAATGACATCTTCAAATCCTAATGTTTCCGATTACTGCTTATACTCTTATTACCTCTACCACTACGGGATTTGAATCGACAACTGCATCTCTGTGCTAATGTAGTGAGGCAACTCGAACTGATGTACGTACGTACGAAGTTCTACGTTATTACTGACTGTTACTGATTAACTGATTTTCTATACATTATTATCACTGAATGGAATAAATCCTTCGGATATAGTGATCACACACACCGCTATCAAAGGTTTTCAGCTAAAGGAGACCATATTTTGCAAGTATGAAATATTACTGAACATTCCGTAGTAATACACACCATATCTTTTAAGACCATACAGCAATTATGATGATGCAATATATGGCTCAGATTGCAAAAAGAAGTCTTAAAATGTTTTAGAAGGATTGAATTTGTTCTCCTCACTATTATTGACAGTCAAACGACTATCCAGATATATGAACCTTTACATTATTTTCATAGCCCCACTATCGAAGATTATTGAAGGCTAATGTTCTCGCCGGTTTCGTAGAAATAACAGCTTCCGACAGTGTTTTGTCGAAAGAATTGTCAATAAAATGAGTCAATCTATCAAAGATTCTTTATGAAAATGATATAAATCGTACCAGTGGAATTGCTTTCATCAAATGTTACTTTTCATGGCTGTCCAACTTATCTATTTTAACCTAACTGTCAGAAACTCCTGAAAACTCATTAAATCTAAAACTTCATTGAAATTATGAACCGATAAATGTTAGATCACTCATTGAAAACCTGGAAGCACTCGACGGATGTGTCAACGACCTCAACCCCATACTGTAAATCTAAAATGTTGGTTTAGAAGGAACTTGTGTTCATGGTTAACCTGAAAACAAGTAGTTAAATTGTTAGTTTGATAACTTTGGTTATCGTTAGAGCCTCAATCGAGTACATGGTACCAATCTATAAAATCGGAGACCGCTGGTTTGAGATGTGTGAAATATACACTTCTTGAAATAATAGTAAACTGTGGTGGAAATCCCTAGATAATTGCTTAAAATCAGTCAACGTGGCATTGTTGTCCTCACTCTCTATCTTCCTCTCTACGTATTGGGTTTTAATATTATTTCATATTATTGAGTCTTTAAATCAAGTAGTTTCTTGTTAACTATACTTCATACACTTAGTATTCACTAGCATTGATATTATCTCAAATTTTATACCGTAAATTTTGTTAATTCCATTTGAATATGTTCACTTGAGATACGGTAACTTGCACCGATACATAATTGTATCACGTCCCACATTGCCTATGGCTGACTGAAAATATATTTCGATGGTGCAAATGCCATTTTTCGGGGGGCGATTATCAGCTGATGACATGGAGTTTGGGTGACTTGTATGCCAAAGAACAATAAAGCGATATTATCTATCAACTCAAGACTATAAATATGTCTATTTAGTCAAGGGGTTTTGAGTTGGAATTATTTACTTTGATACTAGGTTAATGTTGTGCAATAAAGGTTTTCTGTAACATAAACTTAGAATCTACTCTTATTAACAAAGACATATGGCATATAAAAAATCAAATAATTTTCCGAAGACCAAAGATACTATTAGACAGCCGAAATCAAATGTTTGATAGGCTCAAATCTAAAGTCTAGTTCCTGATAATCGTGTCATTTATCCACAAAACTACCACCCCATTATCTAACCATAAGGAAAAACATGAAAAAACAAACAAGCAAAAAATACGGCCCCAAGAGTGAAAAGATATAAGGAAGATTAAACTAACCATATGCTAGCTAAGAATGCATGTAAATTTATGGGATAAAGAAGCATACATATTTCTAAAGAGGTGGATGGTGGCTAGCAGTGGGGTTCGAGATGCACATTTCGTTCCATCTGGGACTCGTTAGATGGATGTTCATGTTCATCCCGTGACTCGAACCGGTGCCTTCCGCTTCAAACGCCATCGTGTTATCCACTTGGCGACTGAGTCCAGATAGCCTATAGTTTGAGCAATGGGGTGAATTTTGATTCTCATTCATATATACATTGGTTGTTTCGATCGTCCCATCGATGTTCAGGACTGCAATTTATCGGTCCTGAAAGTGATGGGTTCGAGTCTTGGAGCGAACACCAATTCTAACATGCAGGTACACCCAGCTGACGAGTCCCAAATAGGACAAAACACGCGCCCTGGATTCCACTGCTAGTCGCCATCCATCTCCGTTTATGCTTTGCATGCTTATAACTTGCTAGGAATATAAAGGCAACCCGCACAGGATGCACATATGTTGTGAACGAGAACACAAATTGGGAACAACTAATTGTATTTCAATATAATATCACAAAATGTCTGTGTAAAATATGAGAACCATACATTGAATACTTCATTTGCAAATTTCCATCACCCAACCTCAGCATTCTATATGATTCTTACTATTCGCGATTCCTTTCAATTTCCCTTTTTTTATTCTCTTCAGCTTGACCTTCTTAGTCTTGTACTGCCCGGGTTTCCACTTCCGACTGGTGTTACATACTACTTATGTCGACGAACATAAGTAGCATACACCGAAAAGATTGATTAACTTAAGTCTTAAACATCAATAGGAAGATTTAGACAACCAATATATGTATTAAAATTACAAATTTCTATTCAATAATATGAAAAAGCATACTTATATAATGAATCGGCTATTATATGATCCAGATGACAGAGAGGAGGTAAAATAAAAGGGAATATTAATTGAAACTTATGATAAATAAAAATGATAAATTGAGTTAATCGGTGAATATGCAATGAAAAAAAACATATATCAGAGGAAATAAAAAACTAGTCATTTACGATCAATCTAAATTGAAGCCGAATTGATCAAGAATAAACAAAATACATACAATAAATACATTTTAATCCAGTGATATTTTACAATTCAAATAATTTTTAGTAGGTGATATATTTACACGTTAAAGTAATCTATGGTACAACAATAGCATAATGTTTACCTGAGCAGTATATGGCGATAAAACGGCTTCACTTTCGTCATTTTTAAAACCAGCAGCTGAAAGAATACGATAAGTAAGATTCAGTGCATAAGTATACCATCCATTGTTCTAAGAGAGAAAAGAAACAGATGGAGATGGTGGATTCTTGAATTAGCTGGAGAGGAATTTCGTTCAAATCAAAACCTCACCCAAATACATATAATATTATATATGAGCATATATACACACATTAAGTCATATGAAATCAAACAGTTTGTGGAAGAGAAATTTGTTTTTGTTTGTAGCGACATCAAAGTATTCTTACTTTTGTTGAGACGCATGAAATATTGTTGTCGGATAAATACTACGACAAGAATTGCATGATAAATAATGATAACCTGTTTCCACCGAGAAGTCCTACAACAGAACTAGCAAAAAATTATTAGCAGTTTATTTAGCTACTAAACACTAAGTATGCCTTACAAGGAAACGCCTTCAAAGAGGTTCTGGAACACGTAGCCCTTTGTAAAGAATATCTACAAGCCAGGGTAACTACTGTCAATAAAGCAGAATGATAGCTCAATGATACAGTATACTTCGCCGTTGATAGGTGACACATTAAAAGTAGTAGACATCAAGTTGTTAATAAATCTTAATTATCAAATATCAGATTCACTCTTGATATAATAGATGTAGGAATCAGACAACCATAGTTATCAAACTTATTAGAGGTAGACTAGCATCATAGAAAGATCAAAATGTGCAAATACGCTATTCTTAAGATAATGTAATTGCTAACTGAATTGTTTATACGAAATGTTAAACCAATCAAGGCAATATGGGTCAATAATCACAATGAAATATAATAGGTCACCACACATAATGAGTAAAAATACAAGTTGATAGTAGGAAGACAGGTGTACTGATAGTAGTGAGAATAATAAAATACGATAGTAAAAGTCTTATCAATAGTTAAACGGTTGAAATAGAAGGTCAAACGTGGGTAAATAGACTTGGAATAGTCATCACAGAACATTGAAATCACTACGTAATAAGAAGTGTGTAAATAATTAGATAGTGAAGAATGCAAACGGCAAGAGGCAGAAAATTACGAACAAATACTAGATGTGAAAATAAGGCTAATGATAACAAAAATTTATTTATTTAGACACATAAACATTGGTACAAGGAGGCACCAAAGACATATGCGCCATATAAATCATTCGATTTAAATAAATAAATTTTTGTTATCATTAGCCTTATTTTCACATCTAGTATTTGTTCGTAATTTTCTGCCTCTTGCCGTTTGCATTCTTCGCTATCTAATTATTTACACACTTCTTATTACGTAGTGATTTCAATGTTCTGTGATGACTATTCCAAGTCTATTTACCCACGTTTGACCTTCTATTTCAACCGTTTAACTATTGATAAAACTTTTACTATCGTATTTTATTATTCTCACTACTATCAGTACACCTGTCTTCCTACTATCAACTTGTATTTTTACTCATTATGTGTGGTGACCTATTATATTTCATTGTGATTATTGACTCATATTGCCTTGATTGGTTTAACATTTTCGTATGAATATTCATGTATGTTAGAGTAAAGCCTGATGACGATCTAATTGAAAACAATTGTTCGCTTATATGTGTTGTTCTGATTTTCACAATGGGAATCTTTAACAACTGAATTGTGATATGTACCCCACTGAAGAGTTAACAACTTACAATTAATTTTTTGAGATCATCACCACTTTGACTCCCCAGTTCAATAGATGGAACCCGTTGGATTGCATTAACGTTTGGTTCATCACCCGTATACTGAGCCAACAAATCATGGAATGGATCAAAAGCAGAAGTGCCACCACTACCGCCAATCTCATAATCTTTGCCCATGAGAATAGGTTTTATCTCAACTAACTTGTTTTCGGGACTTGGACTCGATAATGCTTTTTGAGTAGATTCAGAAGGCAACCAGGCATCTCGTTGTCTTAGACGGTTCAAACTCGTTACATCTTGTTTAAGATCCAACTGAGAGCACTTTGATAGATTAGTATTGCTAGGTGATTTGGGCTATGAAAATAGCGTAAAGCCGTTAGATAGGTGGAGAGAAATCATAGCGTATACATGTCTGTATACGAGTAAACTTTAATACTATGTAACAAATATTTGTTGTTTCCCTTTTCTATAAGCCCCAGTGTCATTAACACTAAAACAAGAATTAGAAACTGTATAAGCACATTGATAACTAAGTAGTCAACTAAAAGGGCTAATCGGAGGAAATTCCGTGGAAAAAAAATAGGAAAGATTGAGTGAGTAAACCAAACATATAATGGTGACTGGTTGCTGCAGCTATCCTCGGACAATTGTTTATTTCTAGCAAGCACCAACTATGAGCACGATATACTCATTCGTCTGATACGGCAACCTCCAAAATCGACTCAACGGTAGACCCGAATAGAATACATTGCAATCAGCCTCTATTAGAGAAGCTCAATAGAAGACTCACTCATTCTGAAGCATATATTTGGACTTTAATCATACTCTAGTGCATTTTACGGGACGCAGTTGTCTCAAAAGAAAGACTGATCGCAGTTTGACGACGATACCCTCAAAGTATATTACAGAGACAACTAGAAAAGTAGCTAGTGAATCATGAGAGTAATGATCATCCAGATGTGGCTTAGCACGATATACAAACAGCTGTGATATCAACCAGTGACTTAAACCAATGGGTTGAAAAATCACTGGACACTGATGGCATCTACTTAATTGATAGATGCTCGAAAACGTATCCCGATAGGTTTCAAACACGATGAGGAGCTATTAAGAACAAGGGATATTCGTAGGGTACTAGCATTCGATCATAGGTATTTCTGACGCATTAACTGTGCACTTTGGGACCACCGAGTAAGCGACGTTGAGGTTAGACGCAGAGTACCAGGTAGCGATAACAAATCGGTTGATAAGGTAGTGAGACTTTACCAACCGAAGCGGTTGGGATATGCATTACGTATTCCCGACCACTCACTGAAAACCTTAACATGTTTACTCAGACAGTCAGTAATAACGTAGAACTTCGTACGTACGTACATCAGTTCGAGTTGCCTCACTACATTAGCACAGAGATGCAGTTGTCGATTCAAATCCCGTAGTGGTAGAGGTAATAAGAGTATAAGCAGTAATCGGAAACATTAGGATTTGAAGATGTCATTCAAGGAGTATAATCCAGTGAAATAAATTTGGGAAGAGAAGAAAGAAAGGGGTATGAAGAATCCAGAAGATTAGAATTTGGGCGAACACAGAGTGGATGCACCTGCGCCATTGCAAACGATTTTCAGCCATGTCATTTAGGTTCTCTAACCACCGGTTGCTATCATCTCGCGGTCCCCAACCAGGTAGTCTACACCTATCAACATGACTCAGACCACTTGTCAGTGACTTCATGGACTTGTGCCATGTTTTGGTCTGGCCGCCCCTAGCTTTCTTCCAACCTACTCCTATACCACTGAACATCGCACGTCGAGGCAGTCGGTAGTTGGGAATACGTAACACGTGTCCCAGCCATCTCCACTGATGAAGTTTCACTACTTCATCAATTAGTTTGCCATCCTTACCTAGTACGCGTTTCCTAACAACTGCGTTACTCACTCAATGGTCCCAAGATATACGAGCAATGTTTCGAAGACACCTATGATCAAACCTACGAATATCCTCTACTCTTACCGGCCATGTTTCACTGCCATAAAGTAGGACGGAACGAACTGCTGCGCAGTAAACCCATCCTTTGGTTGATAGACGGATATCTCGCCTACGCCATAAATGACGCAAGTTGGCAGAAGCTAATTGAACCCTCTGTGTCCGTGCTGAGATTTCGTCACACACCAGACCACAAGGGCTGATGAGACTTCCAAGATAAGTGAAGCGGTCGACACGCTCAACTACTTCACTCTCTATCATTAGTTCGGGTGTCGATGCAACCCAATCCTGAAGCAACATTTTACATTTCGAGGGCGAGAATCACATCCCGAACATGCTTGCATTGTTGCTTAGAGTGGTCAGAAGACTCTGCATTTTGTCAGCGTCTTCACCAAACAGAACTATGTGATCGGCATATTCTAAGTCAACAAGTGAATCTCCCGGTAAAAGTTCAACCCTTGGAAATTTAGATGAGGAAAGTGTTATCTCTAAAAGCATTACATATTTACTGGTATAACAATAGGTTGGAAGAAAGCTAGGGGTGGCCAAACCAAGATATAAGACCAGTTCATGAAGTGGTTGACTGGCGGATTGAGCTTTGTAGGTAGATGTAGAGTACCTGGTTGAGATTCGAGTGAATGTTGTAACCAATACTTAGATACTTTGGGTGATGTAGCTTCAAATAGTTTGTAGTGACTCAGATGCATTCACTCTGTTCTCTCTCAGGCCCTAGGACCTGAGACTTCCTTAGATGTTTCTTTGTTGGGATAATTAATCTTTTCTATTGCTACTAATACGACTACTACTAATATTACTTATACTGTCACTTTTTCTACTACAGTAAGATGTCTTGATCACTTTAACACGCTGTGCTAATGTCGTGTGGCGACTTCGACCGATGCACATATGTTTCGGGTTCTATGTTGTATATGACTGACTTGCCCCCGAACGCCCTGGTACGGCCGAGAGTGGGGAGAGTCCGCTCTCCCTCTCGAAATACTCTCACACGGCCGCGCGTATACAGCTTCTGCCAGGGAAGTCCTACTCATTGCCTTCTCGTGGCGGGGGTGTTGTTTACGAAAATGAGAGGACGAAAAGCGAACGTCCGGCGCTTTAACCGGATCACAAACCAATGATGCACATGGGCTCCAGTATCCTGCGGGAACAAATGGCGTATGAACCAATCGTTGGTCACCGGCTACCATGGGATTGCATCTCCTTACGATGTTCCACTGCCTTGTGGGTTAGACCATTAGGTCAAAGGCTCGGGGTGTGGCCCCCTAAGATAACCACCTGCTTCGGTTTGGGCACCCGGGCAGTATCACAGCCCACACACAAACAATGAACTTTATGACTAATGCAGCTACCTTTCTCGATCCGATAAACAATCAATCAATTCAAATAATTATCATTACTATTATTGTCATTATTAATACTATTATTATTATTATTACCATTATTGTTATTAGTGTTATTATTATTATTATTATTATTATTATTATTATTAGTTTCCACATTATTCACCCTCTTTTATACTTATACAGCGGCTCGTCTTCGTTGGAAATCCGACTGTAAACGTTCTCGAGTCACTGTCCGGTTGAAAATTGTATGTTACCATCGAATATGAGTACTGAAGCAGTTTTTCTGAAACCACATGCGCCATTCAAACTGGCTGCCTTCAACGTTCGCACACTAGTGCAGGTCGGACAACAGATAGGGCTGGCTATGTCTTTGGAAAGTCTTAATATTGATGTTTGTTGTCTATCCGAGACCCGTATTCAAGACTCTGGCGAAGTACTACAAATTCGATCTCCATCTGTCGCTTCGAAAAGCTTGTTTTACGTGCGCTTATCCGGGGACCCTGTGGCATCTTCGTCTGGTCTTGCTGGCGTTGGTGTCGCACTAAGCGCTAGAGCTGAGGCAGCACTAGTCGATTGGAACCCCAATAACAGTCGGTTATGTGCTGTTAGATTAGAAAGTTCCATCAAAGTGAGAAGAAATCGGCGTGAGAAACGATGTCTTTTCGTCATCTCCACCTATTCTCCGACAGATTGCAGTCCGGATGCAATCAAGGATGAGTTTTACCACCAGTTGTCTGTTCTTCTCCAGAAAGTGCGCTCGACAGATATTGTAGTACTAGCCGGAGACTTGAATGCTCAGGTCGGGTGTCTAGGCACAGAAGAGAGTCGTTTAGGTGGCCGATGGGGACTCGTTGGTCGCAGGTCAGATAACGGGGACCGTCTACTGCAACTTTGCACAGACCACAACCTGTTTCTGGCTAGCACTAACTTTCTGCACAGTCATCGCCGATGTGCCACCTGGCGTCCTCCCTCTGCATCTCAAGCCTGAACTCAGATTGATCACATCGCGATCAGCTTCCGCTGGCGTGGTTGTGTACAAGACTGCCGCTCCTTTTGGAGTACCTATCTGGACTCTGACCATGCCTTGGTCTGCGCCAATCTTGCCTTACTTTTCAGTGGACAACGAAGTGACCGCCAGCAAAGGATTGATATTAGCAAACTGGTTGCAACTTCTGTTGCAAATAAGTATCGAACCGAGCTAGCTTCTAGGCTAGCTATCACTCCACCGAAAAGTATAGATGGGCATTGGTTGCAATTGCATGGCGCCATGAAAATGGCGGGAACAGTCAGTTGTGGGTTTGCGAAACGTCCCGCTTATAAGCACTGGGTTTCTTCTGGTTCCTTACAACTTATTGAAGCCCGTCGGTCGACTCCGGGTGACCGTGAGTTTGACCATAAACGAAGGATGTTACGTAAGGAATTTGGGCAAAGCTTGCGTAAGGACCGAGAAGCCTGGTGGTCAGAGCGTGCTAATGAGATGGAAGCAGCAGCTGCATCTGGTAACTACCGGAAGCTCTTCCAGCTCATCCGAGCCACTAGAAGCAAGAAGTCTGGTGTGAGTGAAACAATCTGCGAGGATGATGGGATGCCAATCACTAACATCCATCGACGTCTTGGACGATGGGCAGAATTTTTCGAAGGGCAGTTCAACTGGCCTGCTGCTCCGGCAACATCGGTCAGACTGTCCTGCCCTCCATGGCCGGTGACGACTGATCCACCAAACGAGGAGGAAGTCCGCAAAGAACTCCAACTCTTGAAGCGTTACAAATCACCTGGCCCAGATGACTTACCTCCGGCCTTTTTTTAAAGATGGTGGTGACTTTTTGACTAAGGAATTGACGACGTTGTTTACAAAAGTTTGGGAACTAGAGAGTGTACCAACGTCATGGAATGAGTCGATAGTTGTCCCTATCTTTAAAAAGGGTTCACGTCGTTCCTGTAACAACTATCGGGGGATAAGTCTACTTCCGATTGCGTCCAAGCTATTGGTTTCCGTCATACTTCGTAGGTTGT